AAGTTGAACTTCAATCCATAAACACATGATGAATATGTAAACATAAAACATAATTTTAATATAAAAAATGAGTGAATGTGTATTTATGTGTACTTATGTTCTTAATGCTCCAGCATCTGGTGACTCATAAGTTACTTCATCTTCTTCTCCTGGTATGGTCTCATAAGGATTACTAACTGATCTGTTTTTATTATCATTGCTTGGTCTATCATAGGCTGGTTCATTATCCACATACTCATAAGCAGCAGTTGTCATTTCATACTGAGGTATGTCTGTGACTCTATTGTTTGATGTGTGGTAGCGGTTTGATCCTATAGCATCCAATGGTACTGATTCTACTGAATTAGCGATGCTAGCAGAACTGAAGGGAATAAAAGAATATTATACATTATGCATACATTAGGATGTTAGCATAAGGTGGGTGAGTTTATTTATGCATGGAAGCTAAAGTTATTGATGGTGTGGGTTTCATTTTTGCTTTTATTGATTCAGACTCTAACTTTATCCAAACACTGATAGATTTAGCAATAACAAAAAATATTGATGTTTATATTTACTTGTACATTGGACTGTACACCATACCATCATCATTACCATCAGGAGGTTTAAGACTAGATACAATGGAAGATATTTATTATAGTTTACAATAGAATTGAAGGCTTACTCTCCATAAACTGAAGCATTGGACACTTCCAAGAGCGTCCCTTTTCTCTCTAACTTGCTTTCATTCCTATTGGCAGAGTAATGATAACAAGACACTTTAGTTATTAGTTAATGCTTGATGGTTAAAATAACAAACTATATCTTACAGTAGCCAAATCAAAGAAGTGCAGAGTAAATAGCATAGCTTATAAAATGCATGAGTAATGTTCTTGTATAAACAACTGTTACCATAATAGGAATGCATGTATCTAAGTTATTGTCTGTATGTGTTTGTGTCTTACTTATTGTCAGATTTTCTTATTTTGTAGTAATACACGAGAGTCAGTGACATTAGTAGTATTGCTATTATGATCAGTAGTAGCACTGGGAGTATGATGGCTGATGTTACTGAAGCTGTACAGTTATCAACAGCACTTGCTATTGTGCCTGCTTCAGTAGTAGTGGCAGTTACTGATAAGGTAAGTGTAGTTGTGATAGTAAATACAACTGAAGCAAGAGGAGTAGTAGTAGGACATTCTTTATATGTACTAATAATCTCACTACTACTCTGGTATGATGATTCAAAAGGTGAAGGGAATGAAGGACAGTTACAAGGTGAGGAAGAAGGAGGCTCACAAAATGAGTTAGTTGAGGATGCTATTATTGTAGAAGTAGAAGGACATGTAGATGTATCTGAAAAAAATAATCAATGCAATAAAATCTTTTCCAAAAAAGTTGTAACTTTTTTGCACTACATGCAACTATATTACCAGGTAAAGAAGAGCATGAAACTCCTACATCTTCTGAATGACCGCAGTTATGATCCCCAATTAGATTTTGTGGGCAATCTAGCAGGCTACATTGATTACCAGAGCATTGCACCTCATCTAAAAATATAGCACCAGTACCCTGGCCATAACCATTGAGACCAGAGGAATATGTGGCACCTGAAGAGACAATAATTGAAAAATTTTATAGCTAGAAATACATGTACATATAGCAATTGAATTAAAGTGTGCCCCCATTGTCAAAATTTACCACAGAAAGAGAAGAGAAAAGAAGAAATAGAGAGCTAACTCACCATCAGTACTGTATCCCAATTGTCTACACACAACTCTTGCATTATTATAATTCCAACTGTCATCACAAACTGTGCCCCATACTTTGTTAATGCATATCTCAACACGTCCTTGATTAGGAGTATCACCATTAACCAACCTTATTTCCCCAGTTGTACAAGCTAAATTAGCTAATGTAAAAATTTTATACTGGTTAATGAGCAAATTAAATCAATGTCACAAGCACTTGATCCACTTACCATTTACAATAAAGCATGACACCTGAATTGAGAAGATAAATAAAAGAAACTTCATAATGACAAGCACAAGCTAGACTAGACTACTGGCCCTGGAGAGGGAGTAGATCATAGAGTAGGTGTGTGACTATCTATAAATACATGTAACTGCATGATGATAGTTAATTTATCTATAGCTTCCTGTTTCTAATATGCATTGAGCTATGTATACAAAATTATCTAACACTAATATTATGTTTATATATAGTCAAGTAAAGAGCTTTCACTCTTTCAAGTCTAATATGCCAATTATTCAGCAATATCTTTATAAATAACAGTCTTTGATTTCACTATAAAAACCATCAGATAATTGATCTTCAGGAACGGGTGGCAATTGGAGTGATGCACTGCGGAATGAGTCTGCCTGACTGTAATACAAATACACAAATAAGCAACTAGATTGATAAATTGTAACTTACTCATTATAACTCATATTGAATACAATTTCACTATCTACATCTTCGTCCACTATTTCCTTAAGAGTTGAGATTTTTCTTTCACAAACTGGTTTCCTAAAAAATAATACATTAATACCATAATAAGACTACTAAACTTAAGTGCTTTGTGGTGTGCACTGTATGCATGTCTAAGTCACTATACTCATTGATCAATTTATCTTACTTATTTAGAGTCTTTCTTCTTTTGTAGCAATATATGAAAGCCAGTGGTGATAAAAGTGATACTATTATTATCAGTAGTAATAGTGGCAGTACAATAGCTGATGTTATTGCTGCTGTACTTCCTGCAGCAGTAGCAGCAGAAGTTACTGTCACAGTGATAATGCTCTGGTATGATAGGCCTGAAAGGGACATTGTACAGCTATCAACAACACTTGATGCCCCTACAGTAGAAGTTACTGTGATGGTGATAATACTCTGGTATGATAGTTTTGAAAGACACATCATCGAAACTTGAGAGTTATCAACAACACTTTGTATCTCTACAGTAGTAGTTACTGTTACAATGGGAACAGTAAATGAGGCTATGCAGGTATCAATGAGACCTGATGCTATGCTTCTTGTAATAGTAGCAGTAGAAGTTACTGTTAAGGTGGTGACTGCTTGGTGGGTGACTGTGATTGAGGCTGTACAGGTGTCAATGAGACTTATTGCTGTGGTTTCTACAGTAGTGCAGTTATCAATAACACTTGGTACTGTGCTTCCTACAGCATTAGCAGTAGTAGTGATTGTTAAGGTAGTGACTGCAATGCTACTCTGGTAAGGACAATTGCAAAAAAAAGAAGAGTAATGTTCAACAAATGAGTTTGCCAAAGATGTTGTTGTAGATGCTGTTGGAGATGGTAAGGAATCAAATGGAGTACATGTAGATCTACCTGTAAAAAGAGTGATTAGCAATCTAGTAAAACATAAATATAGCTAACTATCTAAGCTTACTTTGTAAAGAAGGGCATGAAACTCCTACATCTTCATGATGACCACAGTTATGAACTCTAATTGGATCGTGTAAGCAATCCAGTAGGTTACATTCATGACCAGAGCAGACCACATCATCTAAAAATATACTGCCAGTACCACCACCATAATTATGTATATATGTTACACCTGAAGAAAAAGAAAGAACAAAACATTACAACCTAATGTCAATAATTGCAAAATGGCAATTAAGAGAAAGAAAAGGAGATAGCGCTGACTCACCATCAGTATTATATCCCAACTGTCTACACACAACTTCTGAATTATGAACATACCAAATGTCATCACAAACTGTCCCCCATGTTCCATTGATGCATATCTCAACACGTCCTTGATTAGAAGTGAGACCATTAGCCAATCTTACTTCCCCAGTTGTACAACCTAGTAATGGCATTCTATTTATGTAGAGTAAAGTACTTGTAAATGTAAGTATAGACTAGTCCATATTTAGACATGCTGCATAAAAACATGGGCATTTAACTTTTCCCCAATATACTTACCATTCACTAAGAAATGTGACATCTGAATTGAGAAAAGAAATAGAAGAAACTTCATGATAACAAGCTCTAATACCGAAGTAGATTGTGTAGCAAACTACATGTATATGTACCGGTATTCTATACCTAGCTATTTTATTTCAATGTTTTATTAGCTTATGTGCACAAACATGTAGATGCACAAACTATTGCTTTGCATGCTTATTCTATCAGTGCCGGGGAATACAAAGAGTGAGTGATAACTTATTTTATAAAACAAAACAATTGACAAACAAAGACACAATAATAACCCACTGCTATTCTACCATGAGATTTGTCCCAATACAATTGTCAGTCATTCCTCACATGTAACTGAAAAGTAAATGAGTATGATGACAATATACCAAATTAGTCATTCAAGCTGAGAATAGCAGCAGATTCAGTGCCAGGGCTATTGTGATGTAGGAGTTTTCATAGCTGCCTAGCAATGCCCATTTGACACTAGTGACACACGTTGCAATTCGGAATTAATGAAGGCAAATTTTTTATTTGTTCATATAACAGCTGATCCAGTAACATGTCATTGGTGATAGTCAACAAAGAAAGTGAGCCTAGAGACTCACAGTGAGCACAATTCATTCACTGGTTATAGTCAATATAATTAAAATAATGACCATAAATATAAAATTATGTATTAAAAGCAAAAAAGACAATTTTGCATGTTGTTCCAGTTTAATTTATGAAATATGTTTTAATACGTACACTAGGAATATAATTAGTTAGATCACACTTATGTATGCAAAATTATCAACACATTATTTATCAGTCAGTCATAACTGAGGGATGCTCATATATAAAGAACTTCCTCTCCTTTCTCAGCTTCCATCTCAGGAGTATCTGTAACTTCAGTATAAATAGGTCCTTGTTGATTTTCAGGAATGGATGACAATGGGAGTGATGCACTACCTGATGAGTCTTGTTGACTAGACATGAGGTACATATGAACTTGGATTAATGATCAATGGTAGCTTACCCAGTATCAATAGCATTGTATGCTTCATTATCACTAATGCTATCAATAGCTCTGTTGTTTACTTCTTCTAGATGAACAGGCTCATTTAAAACTGGGAAAGCATTTAAAACTTTACTAATACCAGTCTTTTGACGATAACGATAGATTACAAACAGTATAATAAGGATGGATGCAACTAGAACCAGAATCAGTATTGGTACTACAACTGCTGCTGTAACTGCTCCTTGACATGTTACTGAAGCTGTACAGTTATTAAGAGAACTTGTTATTATACGTACTTCAGTAGTAGTGGCAGTTACTGATAGGGTAAGTGTAGTTGTGATTGTAAGTACAACTGAAACAAGAGGAGTTGTAGTAATAGTGGTAGTAGGACATCCTTTATATGTACTAGTACACTCACTACTACTCTGGTATGATGATTCAAAAGGTGAAGGGAATGAAGGACAGTTACAAGGTGAGGAAGAAGGAGGCTCACAAAATGAATTAGTTGAAGACATTATTATTGAAGATGCTGATGGGGATGGTATGGAATTTAATGGAGTACATGTATCTGCAAAAAGATGAATTTGAGCGTAGATCTAGTTCATATAAATATCTACCTAAAGAAGGACATGAAACTCCTACATCTTCTGAATGAACACAGTTATGATTTCCGACTGGATTACGTGGGCAATCCAGTAGGTTACATTCATTACCAGAGCAGACCACTTCATCTAAAAATATACTGCCAGTACCACTACCATAGCCATTGGGACCAGAGAAATATATAGCACCTGAAGATACATAATATAATTTGAAAAATTTCATAGCTAGAACTACATGTAGATCTAGCAATTGAATTAAAGTGTCAAAAATGACCACAGAAAGAGAAAAAAGATATAGAGAGGCAACTCACCATCAGTACTGTATCCCAATTGTCTACACACAACTCTTGCATTACTATTGGTCCATAAGTCATCACAAACTGTCCCCCATGTTCCACTGATACATATCTCAACACGTCCTTGATTAGGAGTAGCACCATTAACTAATCTTACTTCCCCAGTTGTACAAGCTAATACAAAAATATTATACTGGTTAATGAACAAAGTCAATACAAACAATTAAGCACTTGATCCACTTACCATTTACAATAAAGCATGACACCTGAATCAAGGAAATAAACAGAAGAAACTTCATAACGACAAGCACAAGCTACTAATCCTGGGAGTGGGAGGGAGTAGAATATGATATGAAAGAAGCTGATGCAAGATACATTGGTTCCTGTTTCTAATTTGTATTAAGTTATGTACACAAACATGTGGTACTATCTAAGACATACAAGTACTATTGCTATGTTAATAAATAAAAGAGTTGTCTCTCTTTCTTCAGTTTTAATAATGCCAATTGTTTTGCAAACTGCTCTTCATAAATAACAATCTTTAATTTCAGTATAAATCCCATCATATAGATCTTCAGGAATAGGTGGCAATGGGAGGGATGCACTGCCTAATGAGTCTTGTCGACTATATAATGAGTAGTAATTAATAATTAAATTGTAGCTTACCCATCATAACTCATGTTAAATACAACTTCACTATTTGCTACATCTTCATATTCTAATTCTTTAAGAGTTGAACTTCTCCTGTCATCACAAACTGGTTCTCTAAAAAAATGGATTTTTAATGTAATACGACTATTAAACAACATTTGTGTATGCACATATTAGATAAAAGTACATCGTATTCAGTAGAAAGTAATGTATCTGCATGAGTCTGATCAATTATTTCTTACTTATTATTTACAGCCTTTCTTGTTCTGTAGTAATAAATGAGAGGCAGTGACATTAGTGATATTATGATGATCAGTATCAATAGTAGTACAGCCAGCACAATTGCTGATGCTTTTGCTGCTGCTGTACCTCCTACAGCATTAGGAGTAGCAGTGGCTATTAAGGTGGTGACATTGATACTACTCTGATAAGGGCAGTCACAAGTTGAGGAAGAACAAAATGGGTAAGATGCTGTTAAAAAAATGAAATATCTTAGTCAGTAGCCTACATATAGAGGTAGATTCATGTGTGTGAGCTGTGTATGTATGTACATGTGCATCATTGATTATTTGTAATTACCTGGTAAAGAAGAGCATGACACTCCTACATCTTCTGTATGATCACAGTTATGAGTTCCAAATATATATGATGAGCAAGCCAGTAGGTTACATTCATTACCAGAGCATTGCACATTATCTAAAACTATAGGACCAGTGCCCTGGCCATAATAAGCATTTGTAAAAGCTGTAGCACCTGAAGGGAAAGAATAAGCAATTGAATTAAAATAACAATTTTTTCTAAGGACAATAGTTAAGCCAACTCACCATCAGTACTGTATCCCAATTGTCTACATACAACTTTTGCATTATTATTAGTTACCCAAAAGTCATCACATACTGTGCCCCATACTCCATTGATACATATCTCAACACGTCCTTGATTAGAAGTAGCACCATTAGCCAATCTTACTTGCCCAGTTGTACAAGCTAATGTCAAAATATTTTATATTAAAATAATAAATCATATTCTAGACTATGCTCCTATACTGCAATAGATCTACTACAAAGTACTTGTAAAATTACAAGAACAGGTGGCATAAAATAATTGGTTGATAATTTCCTCCAATATATCAGATATACTTACCAATTACCAAAAAATATGACATTTGAATTGAGAGGAGAAATAGAAGAAACTTTACATGCATTCTCACAGTGACAATTAAGTTCTAACACTGATAGATTGTATGGCAAACTAGCAGTTTTATTATAGATATCTATTTATCAACTAGCAATTTCAATGTTTTATTAGCTATATGTGCACAAACATGTAGCTACACAAACTTATTCTATTAGTGTTGGGGATTAGAAAGAGTGGAAGATAACTTATTTTATAAAACAAAACAATTGACAAACAAAGACATGCACAAACATATCTAATAATAATTCACTGCTATTCTATTGTAAGTAAGATTTGTCTCAATGCAATTATGAAGCCAATGCTTAGTCACAATATTCACAAAATTAGTCATTCATAACTGAAGAACTTTCATAAAGAGCTACCTCTCCTCCTTTGCTTCAAAGTCAGGAGCATCATCACTTCAGTATAGATATAGGTACTTGATTTTCAGGAATGGATAGCAATGGGTGTGATGTGCTTCCTTGTAAACTACAGTGTATGGAATAAACAATATAATCAATTGTAACTTACTTAGTAGTAATACGGGAGTTGTATGCTTTATTTAAATAAAAAGCTTTTTCTCCTACTTTTCAAAAGTTGAATCTCTTCTATTGTCCCCATGAACAGGCTAATTGAAAATTTGAAAAGCATTCACATTTTTACTAATGCCAGTTTTTTGACAATAGCAATAAAGTACAAATAGTATAATAAGGACGGATACAACTAGAATCAGAATCGGTATTGGTACTACAACTGCTGCTGTAACTGCTCCTTGACATGATCTCAGCTTCTGCATTATCATATATATCCTAATAATCATCACAAACTGTGCACCATATTGCATTGGTAAATATGGTATCTTCCTTAGGAGTGACACCATCAACCAATCTTACTTCCCAGTTAAGCATGATAGATATTAATATTATCAGATCTATGATTGAACCATATACCATGCATATAACTTTACAAGGTCTACCTGCTAAATTGTTAACAGTAAGACTGTATGTTTTACATATTGGGATATGTGTTCCTTTATGACTTATGAAAAAATATTTGAATGTTTTATTGAGCTAGATTTATGTACACATAAACATGTGACACTATCTACACAAACACTACTGCTGTCATGTTTATTAATATTAGTCAATTTGTTGAGTATAACTAAAGGAACAAAAAGTTTAATCTCCTCCTTCACTCAAATTTTAGTGGCATCTTGATATATGTGATTGCAAGAAGAGTCCATTGTTGTGTAGTCTTGATCATTAGTACCATCAGATACTTGATTTTCAGGAATAGCTGGCAAGGGGAGTGATGTGAATTGACTGCATGATATTTGCTGACTGTAGGAAATAGAAAAATTAATTGATGATTAATGATCAACTGTAGCTTACTTAGTATCATTATACCTGATATTGAATACAACATCATCATCTAATTTAGCAGTCAAAGTTCTTTTGCCAGAAACTGGTTTTCTAATAAAAAGTAAGACGTACTTGTACTGTGATAAAATAGTATTTATATACATTCTACACAGCTTATTATTATGCAGTGTATTGCAGTGCATATGCATAGTTTCATGTTCATTAATAATTATTGTGTAAGAGTCAATCAATATTTGAATTTACTCATTAATTTATAATTATATCTTACCTATTTACAGCCTTTCTTATTTTGTAGTAATAAAAGATGAGAGTCAGTGATATTAGTAGTACAATAATCATCAGTAGTATTATTGGCAGTATAATAGCTGACATTATTGCTGCTGTGCTTTCTACAGTAGCAGTGGCAGTTACTGTTATTGGTATGGTGGTGACAGTGATGCTACTCAGGTTGAATGGTGAGGAAGAAGGAGGCTCACAAAATGAGTTGGTTACTGTCAATATTACTGTAGATGGTGTTGGAGATGGCAATGACTCGCATGTATCTGTATAAGCAATGATCATAGCACATACAATGAAGTATAAGAAGTATATTAAATCAAATAAGCTTATATGTGCATGTTATGTGTGAGCTTACAGTTACATCTGTATAATCAATGTTAAACTATTTACCTAAAGAGCATGAGACTGCTACATCTTCTGAATGATCACAGTTATGACTTCCAATTGGATAATGTAAGCATGCCAGCAGGTTATATTCATTACCAAAGCATTGCACCTCATCTAAAAATATGCTACCAGTACCACTACCATAATTATGATCAGGGCCTCTGAAATATGTAGCACCTAAAGGGAAAGCATAACAATTTATCCAAAAGGTCTAACTCACCATCAGTATTATATCCCAATTGTCTACACACAACTCTTGCACTATTATTGGTCCATAAGTCATCACAAACTGTGCCCCACACTCCATTGATACATATCTCAACACGTCCTTGGTTAGGAGTAGTGCCATTAACCAATCTTACTTCCCCAGTGAAACAAGCTTTAGTGCAAATTAAAATAATCTTGTTAAAATTTACTTGCAGATATTTATAATATTTGATCTATTTACCTAAAGAGCATGAGACTGCTACATCTTTTGAATGATCACAGTTATGAGTTCTAATTGGATTATGTAAACATCCCAGCAGGTTATATTCATTACCAAAGCATCGCACACCATCTAAAAATATGCTGCCATTGCCACTACCATAATTATGATCAGGGCCTCTGAAATATGTAGCACCTAAAGGGAAAGCATAACAGTTCATCCAAAAGGTCTAACTCACCATCAGTATTATATCCCAATTGTCTACATACAACTCTTGCATTATTATAATTCCAATCGTCATCACAAACTGTGCCCCATACTCCATTGATACAAATCTCAACACGTCCTTGATTAGCAGTAGTACCATTAGCCAATCTTACTTCCCCAGTGAAACAAGCTTTAGTGCAAATTAAAATAATTTTGTTAAAATTTGCTTGTAAATATTCATTATAATTATTTGAACTATTTACCTAAAAAGCATGAGACTGCTACATCCTCTGAATGATCACAATGATGACTTCCAATTGGATAATGTAAGCATCCCAGCAGGTTATATTCATTACCAAAGCATCGCACACCATCTAAAAATATGCTGCCATTGCCACTACCATAATTATGATCAGGGCCTCTGAAATATGTAGCATCTAAAGGGAAAGCATAACAGTTCATCCAAAAGGTCTAACTCACCATCAGTATTATATCCCAATTGTCTACACACAACTCTTGCATTATTATAATTCCAATTGTCATCACAAACTGTGCCCCACACTCCATTGATACATATCTCAACACGTCCTTGATCAGGAGTAGTACCATTAACTAATCTTACTTCCCCAGTTGTACAAGCTATAAAAATTAAGAATATTTAAAACTAGCTTTTTTGTCTAGTCTAGTTTTATTATGACAACATAGGGATGCTGCAATACTGTAAATGACTTGTATAGTCATAGAAGCATAGTTATGTTAGCTATTCTGATTGAGATACTTTCTTAAATATAAATCTATCTAGTCACTTACTGTTTACTAAGAAATATGACATCTGGATTGAGAAGAGAAACAGAAGTAATTTCATGGTGGCAAGTTAAATCTACATGTATGTATATTGTGCGGCAAGCTAGCTATTATAGATCTATCAAATATCAGTAGATCTGTCTAGTTGTTGACCTGTTTCTATTTTCAGTGTTTCATTAGTCATGCATACGAGTGATAGCTCATGTAGTCTCCCCATAGCCAGTGAGGGGCTGGCTATGGCAAGAGACTATAGCTCGTGTATGTTTAGTTTTGGGACCAGGCCTGTATGTTTATCTGTCATTATCATGAATTTTAAACAGAGGAAGACCATCATTCAACAAACAAGGAAACAATCAAATTTACATAGTAATGCACAACAGGCTAACAATTAATGCTCATTACTAATAATAATAATAGCCTACAACTATTGCAAACTTATATTTATTAGTCAGTCATAACTGAGGGATGTTCATAAAGAACTTCCTCTCCTCTTCCAGCTTCCATTTCAGGAGTATCCCTAACTTCAGTATAAATAGGTCCTTGTTGATTTTCAGGAATGGATGACAATGGGTGGGATGCACTACCTGATGAGTCTTGTCGACTAGACATGAGGTACATATTAGATTAGCTAATAATCAATGGTAACTTACCCAGTATCAATAGCATTGTACGCTTCATTATCACTAATGTTATAAATAGCTCTGTTGTCTACTACTTTTAGAGTTGAAGCTTTTTTGTCACCATCAACAGGCTCGTTGAAAAGTGGAAAAGCATTTAAAACTTTACTAATGCCAGTCTTTTGACGATAACGATAGAGTAAGAACAGTATAATAAGGATGGATATAACTAAAACCAGAATCAGTATTGGTACTACAACTGCTGCTGTAACTGCTCCTTGACATGATCTCTCTGCTTCTGGAGTTCCCATTGTAGGTGTAGCAGTTGCTATAATAATTATTATTATTTTAGATCAAAATTTATCTAAAGGCCACTGTACACCAGCCAATGCTATTGGAGGCAATCTGTGGTTACTTTCATTTTCAGGCAACACTGCTGCCTATAAAGCTGTTCTATTCTAAACAACACATTGCTTACAATATAAAAGTAACCACAGATTGCAAGCAATGGACTATAGAATTGCCTGGTGCAAAGTGGGATGCACATGCTTACCATTAGTTAATGGGCAGCCTATGAGATTAATCCTCCAAGAAAAATAAGAGGTGACATTATTAGTGACTGTCATTATGTATAGCTGTAATCTTTGACTCAGAATCGGTTCTTGAAAGAAAAAACTAACTTCATTAGGACTGGAAGTTACAAAAGACTATTGGAATGTAAGAGATAGCTCTAACCTGAAGTCTTTTTGCAATTGATTGTAAAATAATTTTCATAACTTACATTTGATAAATTCTGAAAGGGGCTATTTAAAGAAGGAGCATACGAAAGGGAAAAATTGTTTACGTATCCTTCTGTTGACGATTCTCCAGAACTTGTTAGTCCAATGAGAATGAAGGGCTCACGAAAAGTTAAAACTCCATTTCCAGGCACGTCGTTTATTGATGCACTCCAAATTTCATTTAATGAAACAGACAAAACTTCATTAAATTCTGAAGTAGAGACATCAGTGCTTGTAATCAACTGCAAAGCACCATTGGGACAACCTATGGTAAATCTATCATTTGCAGCAAATCAGAGCTTCCTTACTGTACTGTGTCAAAGGTTGGACAGCTAATACAAGGGCTGAGAATAACAGCAGATTCACTGCCAGGGCCATTGTAAGTTTGGGAGTTTTCATAGCTGGCCAGCAGGCTAGCAATGCAAATCTGATATTCATTGGTCTGGAATGAAATTCTTACTCACCATGGCAACCGTCCAAGGATTGGATAAATACACAAAGATGGCGTATGCGGGGAGCCACAGCACCAGTTTGCCGGCCTGCAACAGGCTGCTGGAGAGAAAATGGAACGACAAAAAGCTACACGACCTTCAGCAAAGAGTTAGTTACAGGGAATGAGTGTCAAATTTACACCTAAAACTCTTAATTTACTTGTATAGTTGAGATCTACAAGATCTACTGTTGACAACAAAGCTCCAAAAGATTATCAACACATCAGACAGAACAGGAAGAAAGCACAGGTATAGAATATGTCTGTATGTGTGTGTAAAACACCAAGTTATATCACAGGCTACCTAAGCATTATTGTTAATCTCGTTATAACATCTAGTTAGAGGAAGAAAGGATGGCTGTCATCCAAAGACACAATGATCAGTTACTACAGAAGATGGACACCATTATGCACACAACAGGTCGAGTAGACCATCGTAACATGGACTGGAAGCCAAAGAGAAGGTACAAATTGACTATCATTAATGACATAGTGACAACAACAGAGATTCCATACTTAATATGCATGTAAAACAAATGCAAGCAAAGTATTCATTTTTCTGTTGTTTTTAGTCTTAACTTTTTCAAGAAGAATGAAGAGATAAGTAGAGTAATGAAAGAGAATCAGGTACACAAGCATTATACTGACAGCAATATTGCATGCCTTTTATCTCAACGTTATTCATAGACCTTACTCAAGCGAATACAGGGAGCTAGACCACAGTACAGCATTCAGAACTGGGTAAGAGAAAGAGAGTGGAAGGGAAATATAAGACAGAGTTGACGTATAGAAGAAAGCACTTTCACATTCTGTCTTCTTTCTAGGAGCTTGATTTTCAACGACATCGTTCAATGAGTAAAAACATTTCGCTACTACCGCCAGTGAAGGTAAAGAGATATGATGGATTCATTTATTTATTTATTTATTCAATTATTTAATTTATTTATTTATTAGCCTCAAGTAAGGACTAGAGCTAAGACGTTACCTTGTGAATTAGAAATGAGTGCTGGAAGAGTCAAACTACCACCAATCAATTCACATGTGAGCAATAGAATAAACATTATTGATGTATCACTATTTCTGTTTACTACAGACCAGTCGACCGGAAACTGAATATGTAAGTGATTATATGCATCTACATGTACATGTACATGCATGCACAGTTGCACAGTGTCTTGAATTCTGCCCTGGGGTCAATTGCAATTGCACATGTACATGCAATTGTAATGAGAGGCTCAATTACAAATTACAATTTCATAATTGTAATTGTTATGGGCAAAATTGAATTTTTTAAAAGTGTATTTGTCATTGAGGCTTTGTAAATTGATGCCAGGTCTACTTGCATTAGTAGTTCTAGCTGAATGTGTTGTGTTTGTAGAGTGATATTCAGGAAGAGATCATTGATGTAGAACAACCAATCACTGAACTGAAGAGTCAACAACAACAATCCAATGTTTTGTAAAAATAATAATAAAATTCTCATTTTGATTTTGATACTTACATACAAACATAGACACACAACTCGACTTTTAATAAAAATTTATAAGTTTATATATTGTATTATAAATATTATAGTTTTATACCAATGATATGAAATTTTTTAATATTTGATTTCGTTATCATTATACTTCCTCCTCGTCATCTTCCTCACTTTCAGACAGTAAATGTGTTTTTAGTGGAAAAGACTTGGTATCTGTTGATTTACGACGCAAAGGAGAGTAACTAGGAGAAGAGAAGGTCCTCTTAAACGGGTTCTTTGAGGGAGAAGCACATGAAGGAAGAGGAGAGAATGGAGGTGGAAGTGGAGAAGATGAAGCTTGTGACAGTACATCAAGGTGATCGTAATCGTCACTGTTGGATGAAAGGCAAGGCTCGCTCCTCACTGTAAATAATTTCCTTTCTTTTCCTTCGGCTGAAATTACAAGAGCATCTTGACGTGACAGTCTCTTACTCAGGAGGGCTGGAGGTGGTATAGCCTGGCCTACTGTTACCGAGGCAGGCATTGCTTTACTCTCAGTAGAGGCAGCAGTATCAGGTTTTGGTGGAGTAGGTGTCGCCCTGCAAGGTACTGGTACTTCGTAGGTAGAATTGTATGATGGGCCTTCAATCAACTGGTCACGAATGTAGCTCTTTCTTGATTTCATGCTAGCACCTTTCCTTGTAAAACCACGAGGCTGTGACTGCTTACGCATGACTATTGATACTGGCGCATAGCGATTGGCTTGCTGGTGATTCCAGATTTCGTCAACATTCAGTACATGGTAGGAACCAGATTTCTTTCTCTGTGCAATGATGAATGGAGTGTAGTGCGTCTGTGAGAGAGATCGTTGTAATGAGCTCAGTCCTTTTGCTTTCCTTGTGGTGCGTTCTTGATTCTTCGCTCCAGACGAGCTCCTCTGTGAATCTGGAGGGTGTACGTCATTAGGAATACTTGCATAATCTCCTGAGCTGACTGCGTTCTTTATGTCACGCAGATAAACTCTCTTTTTTGAAGAAATAGGATCAAGACTGCTACTATTAGGATCTGTATGGGGAATGAAAAATGAGTGAAGTACATAATCTCTAATGAATAACAATGTAGATCTAGTACTGTGTGTCATAAGCTCACCTTCATTTATGTCAAGGCTATGCACTGTAGAGTATAAGTGCTGCGAAGAGCCATCGCTGTTTATTGACGTCCCTTGCCTCATGATGTTCCTAACTCTGTCATATATAGGATCTAATAGTTGTGGGAAAAAAAGAATTAAATTATGAGATAATAGTGGACATACTTGGATACATTCTCTCAGATTACACACCCACAACACACAAACACACGCACACACACAAACACACGCACACACACAAACACACGCACACACACACACACACACACTTACCTGGCTTTTCTAATTCATGATAGATTGGTTCATCTTAAAAATAAAATTTGAGCTTTAAAATGAGGAAGTGGTCTGAAATATTTACCTTCAGAGCATAAACAAGACTGACATATAAGAGAAGGCTGTTCCAATACCTGATAAATGGGATCATCTGTAGCTAAAAATACATTTCAAATATTAAACAAAATTATAAATTCACTATGCATACTTGAACTAGCATCTTGTGACTGCTCTAGTGAAGCACTGACCGACTTTTCCCCATCTGGTAGTATAACAAGATATAAAGACTCTACACGTTAAAACAAACATATAAAGTTTCCATAATTGCACACAACTTGTGCTGTCAAATTTTTTTGACGGCTTGTAAACACCTTAAGGTGTTAACAAGATATAGTTTTATGAAATAAATTACAACTATTTCTCTTTTCTTTGTCCTCTCTCTCTCTCTTACCATCCTCATTCTCATTAATTGGATTATGACACACAGAGCAGAGAGGAGGCGAATCAGGTGATGCTGAAGACACTGGATCAAGAACGTGATAAATTCTACTTGATAAAGAATCCTCAGGTTGTATATCTTCGTCCCCTCTCCCTGGATCATGTTGTTCTAAATCAGGAACAGTCACATCTAGTACAAAATAAGTACGCTTCTCGTCACCTACAAAAAATTAATGTACTAATAATACAAAACACTATATTTTATTACTTGTTGTTTCTACAAGTTCATCGTCAATTACATCTTTTTGTGAATGATTGCTCTCTCTTCTTTCTTCTCTTCCTTGCATGATGCCCACAGGCTCTTCTAGTACAGCATAGTGTCTACCTTCCTCCTCTGTTTGTGTCAATTTGATTATATAATAGACACATTAGAAAGAGAGAGAGAGAGGATGGATGAATGTAACAAAGAAGACACACAGAGCTGACACTATTAAGTTATGATTTCCTTATCAAACATGCTGGCAAAATAATAGTAACGATGAGGATGATAATGTATACGATATAACACTTGACTACCTTGGAAGTTGAAAATGGGTACAGACATACATAAACATGCACAAAGGAGTGACTGTAAACATCAACAGCTTGTGGCTTCATTTAATATACAAAGTGCATGGGAATATTAATACTAATAACACAATTAAAAGTTGCATTAAGCACGTATGCAATGAGTGATGTTGTATATCTCTAACTATACCTTGATCTCTTTTATGGTCGATATTAAACCGATTGAGAGTGTCAGCATGACCTAGATCAATGATGTTTTCAAGTGATATTGAGACTTTGCTGTTTCGAGGCGGAGGCATTATCGGAGGTACATCAGGAATATTGAGAAGAGCTGGAGATATGTAGACTTGACTTCCTTGAGATTGACGATTAGCTCCTGAAAGTAAAGAAGAGTATATAGAGAAGCTAAAGTTGATTTATACATACCACAAAATGAAACACTAATCGGTGAGGTGGAAGGGACTGGATAAAAACCATTGCTATGCTCCAAGGTTGATCTAAAACATGATTATTATTAAGAATGTCAATAAAGACACAGTCACATACCCACGTGTGCTATAACTGATACTCTTTATAGTGTCATTGTATGGGCTATTGTAGCTGGAGTCAGTTAGTCCATTAGCCTCTGGATCTAACGCTAATTGTGGCTCATAGTTAGCTTTTCTTTTTTGATAACAGCAACTACATGCAATCAAAACAAACACTAATTAATTTTGTTAATATGAAACCATGCAGGATGATGCTATTTACAAACACTTTAATTGCATTGCTTTCGAGATTAGAGAAGCATGACTGTGTGTATAGAGTCCATATAAACCAACTACCAGTACATTTATACAGAGTGTATAATTCCATGGAGGGTGCTATACCTTAGCAATGTTCCTCCAATAGTAATGACTAAGATGAAGGATAGTCCAAGACTCAACAGAGCCCCTACAAAAAACAGATAAGATTACAGCAACTCACACAACAGTGCACATTTTTAGGGAATATTTCATTTCAAAGTAATTCAATTATAGTATGTTTACCCTCTTCTCTTTGAGCTTGTTTCCCATCCTGCCTCCTACTACTGGCCTTCTCACCTATTGACCTCACGGTTTTGATGTTATTTTTAATGTTAATATCTGTCTCAATGTTGTGGCTACTGCAGTCAATTCCAAGTGCACCTTGTATACACACAGATACTTGAGAGGCAATGGTGAGTGTGTTGCTTGCGAATGTGATGTTTAATATGCAGGCATTGCTTTTAGCCTATTATAAAGAAAACTAGAGTAACACTACATCCTTTATGAATGTTATCCATTGCAACAGCTTTGATGCAACAGCTATAGCTACATGCATACAATTTGTTCAATTAAAACTTCACTGTTTGTATTATAATTCTACACAAACCTTTCTTAATAGTGCTATTATTATTATTAGACTCACTTTAATCAATGTTGGTTGACTCAGAACAGAGATCCTCTCCTTAACACTGCAGTCATTCCCATCTCCCTTCACTAGTAGCTCAAACCCAGTTACTTGAGTTCCTTGTGGATAAGTGAGCTTTATTCTCTCACCGCAGTATTCTCCTTTGTTTCCAATCACATCATTTGGGGCAATGCCAACACAAGCTGCACGTGTTAATTGGACAAGAAAGCTTACGTGCAAGATTTACATAGTACAAGATGACATACCTTTTGAACTGTGAAGAAACCAAAAGAGCAGGAATATCTTGATCATGGTCTTTTCTTTTTACAAAATGGCCCAAATCTACCTCGAAATCTACTTTATGCTGAAAATGAGTTACCGGTGCAGTGACGCTAATGATTGGGTGCGGTAAAGAGGAGCATACGCCCTAATCCACGTGGGTGTGGCTGGGGATATAAGAGCTAGAGCTGCAGCCCATAGACAAAGAGCAAAAGATTGAGAAAAGATAGAATATGATGACTCTGACTCTAATGCTATGTGTCTTGCTACTGTTTGCCATTCCAGTTAATTGTCAGTCTTGTAAGTGTATAGTCATACTATAATATTCAACTCTTTTATGCTTGTTTCTTTCTTTTCTGCAGTTTGTCCTAATATTTCAGGACTGACAGGAACAGTTCCAAATAGCTCATTCACTGCTAGTGGTGTAAGGGACAACGACCGTTTGCCTCAAGCTGCAAGAATAAGCAACGACACTAGATCATGGTGCTCACAGCAGCTCAATGACATATACTCATCACCATGGGTACAAGTGGACCTAGGAGGCGAGTGCTTGGTACATTCAGTCAGTGTGGGTGGGGATGAATTTCTTTTCAATGAGTTTATTGTCAATTACTTTGTTCTTTATAAGACTGATATCAACTCTTCACTACAATTTATTATTGATCCTCAAACTAACAATGCCAAGGTATTTGAAAGTAATCATTAATTCAACTATTATAATTAATTTGTGTTCATTTAAAAAAGGTTTTTCCAAGACTACGAGACAGTTCAGTCCAAACTAGAGAGCTTCCAATACCAGTGTTAGCTCGAGTGATTCGTATAATGGCATTACCTGGTTCATGGAACAGCGATCATGTTTGTTTGAGGTTTGAAGTCAATGGATGTGCTGACACTTCCATACAAGGTATATGCATTATACTGTGCGGTGGTGTAGTTGCCAGCAATTTTATCCTTTAGCGGTTGTGCTAATTTAATACATGATAACATAGAATCCCCATAAGTTCATCAACTTTGTGCATGTCTGAAGTTTTTTATTATCCACTACGGCATGACTAGTCTTTCCTTTCTTTTTGAATACAGGCACCACCTCCACTTCCTCCCTTTCACCATCATCCTCCTCACCATCCTTTTCATCTTCTAATGTTTCACCATCTCCTACTATTTCCAGCTCATCTACTAGTTCCACAACAGAAAGAGGCGCTATTCATACAACATCTTACTGCTCTTGCACAACACCTTACAGCTCTTTTACATCATCTTACAGTTCTATTACAACATCATCTTTTGCAAAAACATCAAGTGTTTCTGAGACAACTATTAATTCATCTCCAAATTCAAATAATGCTTTAACTTCGACTTCAGTTATTATCATAACTAGATATACTTTCTCCTCTTCATCTTCCAGACTCTCCCCATCAGCGAACATTACTAGCACCAATAGTCCAACTGCAGTTAATGGTACTAATGATCTACTTATGCTGGCTGCTGCAAGTGTTGGAGCATTTGGTGGTATAATTCTATGTGCTTGTGTCCTACTCTTTGTCTGCTGCCTCTTCTTTCTCTGCTGGAAGATAAAAAATAGAAGAAAGAAAAACAAAAAACTTCCAGCAGAGGAACCAAGCAGATAGTAAGTGAATACACAAACACATTTAATTCCTTCAGATATTACTGTGTATCCACTTCCTTTGTAGTGAAAGTCTCAATATTGAATACAGTAGATTAAGGAGGGATGGGAGCAGTGCCTCATCTAACATTAATAGCTCACTCACCATTTCACAAAGGAGCATGGAGCTGAGCAATGCCAGTAACAATTCTGTTACAACTTTTGACGAGATACCAGAAGTATATGACTATGTGATGGCTAGTACTATACATCCAGTTGTTCCTGAAGAAGAAATGAAGCATGAAAGACCTGCACCACCTGCTGAAACAAGAGCTCAACATAAAGTGCCTACAAGAGTTCCAATTCAACCCCAAGTACCTGTTAAAAAGCCGAAAGTTCCTCTCAAACCAAAAGGGGCAGGAAAAGTATTCGTCGATGCAAAGATACCACCAGTTGAGGAAGAATATGATGTTCCGATACAAAGAGCAAATGAACTGCAGCATTATAAAAATAATGAAGGATTGATATATAATCTAACATATGGGGCACAAATATAATTATTAAGTGTATGCACAAATATTTTTTCATTAATAATAATTTTCTGCAAAATTTAATGTGAGTGGGTGGTGAACTCAATAAGTGGGCGTTGGCTCAGTTCAATTTACGGAGTCCGTAACATTCAGTTTATTTTTGTGTCACGTGGGAGAATGAGTCGTCATGACAACTAAACCGTGGTCCATGATTTTTTATATGGAGTCAAGTTTCTGTATTTCTCTCCTTGTTTAGAAGCAATGGAGCATTCTAAAGTAAGCCAGGACGTTATACTCTCATTGAGTAACCGCAAAAAAATCCACAGAGTCAATTAGACTGGCACAACCCGGCAGCCAAAGCCAGGTCTCTCCTTCCAGCCATACCAGTTGTCCCCTCTTCACACGAGCAGCCTTCGCCCTTCTACCAACTGGTCCTTGATAACTTGGAGAACCCTCCCATCCTCAAACGTGCCTCCTGGACGAGAGCAGCACCTTTCAAGGAGGAGAGGCATGCCCGGAGCCCCTCGGAGTCGATTGCTAATAACTTCACACCAAGTGCAGCTAATCTCAGACTGAGAGCATTGAAAAGGAGAACGAGATCATCTCGTAAGAGACTGAGAGAATAATATTAGTAATGGGTAGCAGTGGGAACTGAGAATGGACATGCAGTGAAATTGCAAAATATTTATGCTTAAATTATAATTATTATTTTATTTTATATTCATTCTGTTGTCTTAGCTGCATCAAAGATCCTATCTTCCCATCCTCCCATTCCTGTCCCACTCGGCTATCATGAGCACCAACGGCCACTGGTCCTCAGACCAGCCACCACTAGAGGAGGACGCATTCTCAACTCGTCACGTTTGGGCAGCAGAGGAGGATCAAGAGAAGAAGGAGAGAGAAAAGGAAGAGGAGGAGGAGGGAGTGAGAGAGGAGAGGGAGGAATAAAACACTCGCCGTCTCGTCCGATGAGCCCAAGGGAACAGTTCAATCAGATGGGACTGCAGGAGGAATGGAGGAAGAGAATGAATGGGGCACCTTCTGATAAAGATGAAGAGGTATATTGACAAATGAGAGAGAGTATAAGTATAGGGGGTGCTTAAATGAAGTAAGATCACTCAAAAATTGGGCCAAAGACTATGTACTTAGTACAGCCTGTACAGGGCCTCTGGCCAAATTTTGCCAAAAATGAAAATGAGAGAATTCTCCATTTTTTTATTTTTCTGATACATGTACATTGTACATGTACTTATGTTGCATAGAAAGTTTGAGCAGATTTTAATAAAAATAATTTTTTACAAATTTTTAAAGTTGCTCAAAAATTGAGCATACACATACATGTATATGTATACACAATGTACATTTAATGTGCCTGTAAATTAAATTTATCTCATTTCTGCTTTATGTAGAGGTACAAGTACTACATCACTCATGGAGTGAGAGTCCAAGATATTGAGCCGATGCCCTTGGGCCAGATGAACCTGTTTTATGATCGAGTCTCACCTTTCCTTACCTCTAACCCAGACTATGCCAGTCTATGCCACTCACTGGAGGAAGAAATATTAACAGACTATCAGTACAGCCTCAAGAAAGCTGTAGTTGATTACATACTCATTGATCCTGAAGAGAAAAAGAGATTGAATATCAATGCACTACCACTATCATCACCAAGAAGGTATATTATACAGTACTAATGTACATGTACATGTATTCAAGGGTACCCTTATACTTAGTTACTCACTATAGATATGTACATGTACATGTACATCTTTTAAATCCAATGTACAGTGCAAGGATAAATGCATAATTTTCCATATTATTATTCTAATCTCACTATAATTGTGTACATATATCTTTTGGTGCATCTTTCTGCACTATTATGTACATGTACATTTGTATGTTAACATTGGTTTTTGTTTTTCTAATGTTTTAGGATAATAAGGGCACCAGTTCCATGGCATTTCAGCTACAGGGAGACACTGGAGGCTCAGCAGGTTCAGCTATTCATTGGGAATAGAGTGTTACTGGAACTGAATAACCTTTGGCACAACAAGTGAATGAAATGCAACTTTAACACCACATAATGCATGTATATATACAGTACTACATGTGCATAGAATAGTAGTATATTTGTAGATTGAGATTTACTTTTTTTGTATTACAGATATTCTCATTTGAGATTTGTGCTCTGCAAGAATCTCTGTAATGCAGCTCTTCCCCTCAAACCTGAAGACTTTGAAGCACTCGTCAAACAGCAATGCAGCGAGTGTAGGAAAACACTGGAGAATGAGTAAGAGAGAGAGCCAGCATGTGAGAGATAGAGAAAAAGATAGAGAGAGGAAGGAGTAGTAGAAAGAGTATGTTCTTATGCTTTTTTATTGTGTAGGTGGATTCTTGATTGTGGTGGCATACTACGTGAGTATAGAGACAGTTGGTCACATTTGATACCGAATGAGCCAGAGGAGAGAGCAATACTGGCAGAGCACTTCTTCAATGCTGTCTGTAGTCTGATGGCCAGGCAGCTAAGGGACTGTGTTAAAGCATCAATTGACGAGTTTATATCTTTTCTTAAGATTTATCAGGTCCATTTTGTACATGTATAATGTATATGAAATCTTGCACATTAATTTACATTGTACAATTAATTCATTATTAATGTCCTTTAGTGTGGTAACAAGTACGAAGATGATAAATTTCATGATCTTCTCTATACATCACAACCTGTAAGCTCGAGTAGAAGCAATGGCTATCTTATTTATTTTTGTGTATGCATGTACATGTACTTGTACAATAAGGTTCTTCATCTTGATGTCCTTATCAAAAGAGCTGATCTAGTGTTTGATCCACCTCTGGAGCAGTTGGAGAACATCATTAACAGATTAGTTACTGTTATAGTTGAAAGTGCACACGACCTACCAAGAGTAAGTACAAAATTATTATTACTGCATGTTCTATGCTTTACTAGTGCCATACAAGTATGTACAATACATGTACATGTACATGTACATGTACATGTACATGTACATGTACTAAGCTCATCTGTTTTAAATACATGTAGGTTGAGCACGTCTTGTTTCCTGATCTTCATGGTCACAGGATGATTATTCCTGCCATGACAATTTATGATGAAACTGTTCTATTCACGCGCCGTGAGGCCAACCTTTTACTCAAGGCTAACTTTGCAGGAATTAAAAAGTAAAATTTTAATAATTGTACATGTACATGTACATATAGTTTAATAGTCACAGTAGATACATGTACATGTACAATGTAGTTTCTAAGTGATTTAGTGTGTTTTGATCAGGTACAAGAAAATGTATGATCAATATAAGAAGTATTTGGACGGGACAGCGGGCCAAGAACTTGAAGCATTTCTTAAAGAAGAAGATGTACCACTTACTGACTATGGAAAGGTAAGACTGATTTTCTCTTTATTCACCCTCCTCTCTCCCTCCCTCTCTCTCTTTCTCTTAGCGTATTAATCGTCTGCAAGAGACGTCAGGTTTTCTAAAGGTTCTTCGCTGCTCGGTGTATCTTAATTTTTTTTTCCTCAACGTCGAGTCTGTCAATGTTCACATTGTTGGACTGATTGATGAACTTGTTAAGAAACTAAACAAAAGACTCATCGACCAGAACAGAGACATCAATAGAGAGTATGGCTGCCCTTTTATATTTTGTTCCTAACTTTTATCATCTCTCCCTTACAAATTTTTTCCATCCTATACAGTTTGTGTAGACAATATGATGAAATATCAGCCAAAGTCTACGAAGATCCTGACAATACTGATAACCTTGTTGAGCTGATGCAGTTTCTAACTAAAGTAAGATCATGATCATGATCGTGTATATGTATTGATCTCACTGTGTTTATAGTCACGTGATGAGACTGTGTACAAGCTAAAGATGGAGGTCAAGGAAGCAGCAGATAGGGTTATGTTTCTTTTTAACTATGTCAACTTTTCAGGTACAATATGTCCCACTACATGCATATGTACATGTACATTGTATATGTATGTGTGGTCATTCTCATACATGTTATTTCTTCAATCAAAATGTACCACTCTTTATTTTTTAGATGATGACTTAAAGTTGAACAGCCAGACTTTCAACTGGCCTGATAAGATGGATCCGATCTTTGAAGTGAGTCAGAGGAGACTTCTCTCAAGGAGAGAAAAAGCTGAGGCTGACCTCAAGGAGAAGGTGGTTAAGTTCGAGGAGCAGCTAACAGAATATCACAACGCCATTGAGTTGTATAAAGATAAAGAAGTAATGCTGAAATCACTGTACATTAGTGACATCATTTTGTTTTTTGTTGATTAGGTTCCTCGTAATGTTGATGACATCAGGTCTGTTGTTGAGCAGTTGAATGAACTTGGAAAGAAACTGGAGGCTTCTAAAGAAGAAGCAATGGTAGACCATACATATACAAATTGTATTGTACATATTTTTTAAATAGTATTATAAACACCAAAAATAGTAACAATATGCATGTGTATACAATGCTGTACAGTATAAACTATCAAAGTACATGTACATTGTAAGTCAATAAACTCTCCCATCTGAGAGCTTGCTCATGACTGTACATATACATGTATGATACATGTACATGTATGCATGCATAGTACATCTGGCTCTGCCTAATTTTGACTTTCATTGCTTTATTGTGAATATTTCCTTTTTCTCTCTTTAGTCAATCAACAATGAGGAAGAGTTGTTTGAGTGGGAGGTGACAGCATTCCCTCAGATACAGACTGGTATTACACTCAAGGAACCTTTTGATAGACTCTGGGCAACGGCCCTTGATTTTCACATCAAGCATGACAAATGGCTTAATGGTATGTGGAAATTTTATTTTATTTTTTATGATGTACAATGTGCATACATGTTCTTATATGTTATTTATCTCATTCTGATCAAAATTAGATTTTTTTTTTACAAATTTTTAAGTTGCTCCAAAATTTGGCCAATGACCATGGGCTATAGTACAGGGTATTTTATCAAAAATGGCTGCGAGAGAATTCTTCATTTTTATAATTTTTTCTGATGCATATACATGTTTTTATGTTGTGTAAAAAGTTTCAGCTCATTCCGATCAAGTTTGGATTTTTTATGAATTTTTGAAGTTGCTAAAAAACTTGGCCAAAGACCAAAGGCTATAGCCTTGGATCTTTGGCAAAATTTTGTCAAAAATGGCTCCGAGAGAATTCTCTATTTTTATAATTTTTTCTGATACATATACATGTTCTTATGTTGTTTATCAAATTTGAGCTCATTCTGATCAAAATTAGATTTTTTATGAATTTTTAAATTTGTTTGAAAATTTGACAAAACACTGTTTTACCTAAAATATTTGCAATTAGCATGCTTTGTGAGAAACCTACATGCATACATGCACACTGCATGTACATGCACATGTAATTTATGTCAAATTGTCTTTCTTTTATAGGTCCATTCATTGAGCTTGATGCTGAAGAGGTGGAGGAGGAGTTGGGCAGCATGTGGCGAACAATGCACAAGCTCTCAAGAACATTTGCCGACAATCCGAACCCGAAACGCTCGGCCGAGATAACAAAATCAAAACTGGACAAGTTTAAGCAACACTTGCCGCTACTCCAGACATTTTGCAATCCAGGAATAAGAGACAGGCACTGGAAGAGTGTAAGAAATATTTCCAGCAAGAGTAGATCTATTATGCATTATTGGTATTGTGTACTTTTTGTTTTAAGTAACAGCCTTTTTTTTATAGATGTCTGAGATTGTTGGATTCGATTTAAAGCCACAGCCTACCACACCATTGAGTATAATGATTGGCTATGGACTGGATAAACATCTTGAAAAGTACAGCAATACAAGTACATGTACATGTCATCTTGTTGTTAGGTTGGAAGAGATTGGTGCTTCAGCCAGTAAAGAGTATTCCCTTGAGAAAGCAATGGATAAGATGAAAACTGAGTGGAAGGACATTTGCTTTAATTTCTTACCTTATCGTGACACTGTATGTCTCCAGTCCTCTACATGTACATGTACATTTATATTGTCATAATTATTTAAATAATAGCTAGGGTATATCACAGACCTGTACATACATGTACATGCATGTACATGTACATGTATACATTATTGTCATCATTATTTCCTGTATCTTTATATCATAGGGCATATCAATATTGTCATCAGTGGATGATGTTCAGATGCTGTTGGATGATCACATTGTCAAAGCACAGACAATGAGGGGCTCTCCTTTCATCAAACCATTTGAAGCAGAAATAAAAGAATGGGAAGAGAAGCTACTCCTAATGCAGGACATACTGGACGCATGGCTTAAGGTGAGGAGGCTTAGAGAATTAGGCAACAAACGGAGCATTGTATTAATGTTATAATTTATTTAGTGTCAAGCCACGTGGCTCTATTTAGAGCCCATTTTCTCCTCTGAGGACATAATGGCACAGATGCCTGAAGAAGGAAGAAAGTTTTCAATTGTTGATAGATACTGGAAGGACATCATGACAGGATCAGTAAGGCTCTTCCTTTTATTCATACAATGCATACCTATTCTCAATCATTCCCCATCAGGTTAAAGACACTCATGCGCTGGTTGTCACTGCACAAAAGAACATGCTAAGTCGTTTAACTGAATCAAACTCGCTCCTTGAAGAAATACAAAAAGGACTCAACGACTATCTTGAAAAGAAGAGGCTTTACTTCCCTCGCTTCTTCTTCCTCTCTAATGACGAGCTCCTTGAGATATTATCAGAGACAAAGGACCCGCTAAGAGTCCAGCCTCATCTCAAGAAATGTTTTGAAGGCATTGCAAAGTTGGAGTTCACAGAGACTCAGGAAGTGAAGGGTATGATCAGCAGCGAGAAGGAGAGTGTTCCCTTCTCTGAGACTGTCATACCTGCTGAAGCTAGAGTAAGGATCAACTTTAATGTATACATGTACATGTACATGTACTTGTGTAATATGATTTATCCTTTAATACATGTATTTAGAACTTAATTACAGGTCTAATGATTTATTAATACATGTTATACTTGTACATGTTTTTTAGCATAATCGTTTATTTACAGTACATGTACATATACACTGTACTTCTTTTTGCTTTAATTTCTCTCTCTCTCTTTCTACAGGGTATGGTAGAGAAGTGGTTACTGAGAGTCCAGCAAGTAATGATTAAGAGTTTATGTGATGTCACTGCTGACTCAGTTAAAGCATATCCAGTGACATCACGGGATCAGTGGGTCTTAGACTGGCCCGGACAGATTGTTATATCAGTCAGTACTATATACTGGACACAGGAAGTGAATGATGCTATTGTCAATGGAACTTTAAAAGTGAGAGTTGTTGAATAATCAGCTCTGTATCTTAGGATCATTCCTCTTTCTCTATTTCAGGATTATCTTGCTCAGTGTACCGGTCAGATTAATAGGATAGTTGAAATGGTTAGGGGAAAGTTAGCTAAAATGGCCCGTACTACACTTGGGGCTCTCACTGTCATTGATGTTCACGGTTAGCAACACTCCACTTTGTATTCATCTACAACATAGTCACAACTACAGTACCTGTAGTATACACTTTTAGTTTAGAATCTTCCCTTTCTTTCTTTACTTTCTCTCTTCTTTCTTTAGCAAGGGATGTAGTAGCTAAACTGTATGAGGACAAAGTCTCCTCCCCTAACGACTTCCAATGGATAAGTCAGTTGAGGTATTACTTTGAAGATGGGAAGGTCTTAGTTAAAATGATAACAACTGAGGTTCCCTATGGTTACGAGTATCTGGGCAATACTGGTAGACTTGTTATTACTCCACTAACTGATAGATGCTATCGTACACTAATGGGAGCAATCAAACTGAATCTTGGTGGATCACCTGAAGGGCCTGCTGGTATGTTAATTGTAATACAGTTAATGTACTTAATTGATGATTAATAATGATGTTTGTTAGTTGTTGTATTGATTGATTTTTTAATAATGTTGTTTTTAGGTACTGGAAAGACAGAGACATGCAAAGATCTAGCCAAGGCTGTTGCTAAACAGTGTGTGGTGTTCAACTGCTCTGATGGATTGGACTATAAAGCAATGGGGAAGTTCTTCAAGGGTCTAGCCCAGGCTGGAGCTTGGGCTTGTTTTGATGAGTTCAACCGCATTGAGCTTGAAGTACTGTCTGTCATAGCTCAGCAGATACAGTGCATCCAACTGGCGGTGGTGCAGAAACTGAAGCGGTTTATGTTTGAAGGGACAGAGATATCACTGGACCCATCTTGTACTTGTTTCATCACCATGAACCCTGGCTACGCTGGGAGACAAGAACTACCAGACAATCTTAAAGTAACAGACTTTGTGAATTTTAATACATTTTTATTGTCTCTCTCCTCTTTTCTTAAAGGTGTTGTTTCGTACAGTAGCCATGATGGTTCCTGATTATGCTCTGATTGGAGAGATCTCGCTGTATTCAATGGGTTTTGTTGATGCTAGGAGTCTGGCTGCTAAGATAGTAGCAACTTATAGGCTCTGCTCAGAGCAGCTTTCATCACAGCATCACTATGATTATGGTAGGATGAGAGAGAGAGAGGGGGGGGAGAGAAGTGACATATTACATGTATGTTCAATTGCACATGTACATATACAGTACAGTTGTATTCCTACTGCAATGATTATTGTTGCTTTTAGGTATGAGAGCTGTAAAGTCGGTATTAACAGCAGCAGGTAACCTCAAGCTACAGTATCCTGAAGAAGACGAGAGCATATTATTACTGAGAGCCATTAACGATGTAAACTTACCGAAATTCCTTGCGCACGATTTGCCTCTTTTTGCTGGCATCACGAGCGATCTCTTCCCTGGAGTGACCCTACCCCAACCTGACTATGAATACATGACTGATGCCCTCAATGATAACATTGCTCGTATGGGCCTACAGTCCGTCCCTTGGTTCATCTCTAAGATTATACAAATATACGAGATGATGTTAGTCCGTCATGGGTTCATGATAGTAGGGGACCCAATGGGAGGGAAAACCAGTGCTTATAAAGTACTGGCAGCTGCACTAGCTGACTTACAGACGAGTGGGCTCCTTGAGGAGTTCAAGGTTGACTATCGTATTATTAACCCAAAGAGTATCACAATGGGCCAGTTGTATGGTTCCTTTGATCCAGTGTCCCACGAGTGGTCTGACGGGGTATTGGCTAATTCTTTCAGAGAGCAGGCATCAGCGACCGATGAGAATAGGAAGTGGATAGTCTTTGATGGGCCAGTTGATGCTATTTGGATTGAGAATATGAATACTGTACTGGATGATAATAAAAAGGTAATTTATAATGCGTGTGTGTATACCATGCATTAGTACTTCATTTACATGTACAGTACATTATATTTTATTCTTGCTTGCACTTACATTTTATTGTTAATACTATTATTGCATGTACATGTACATGTATGTATAATTATAAATTCTACTCTCTCTTTTATGCAGCTCTGCCTGATGAGTGGTGAGATTATTCAGATGAGTAATAAACAGAATCTCATATTTGAGCCGGAGGATCTTGAGGTAGCATCACCAGCGACTGTCTCAAGGTGTGGTATGATATATATGGAGCCTCATCAGTTGGGATGGAGGCCACACTTTAACTCATACATGAACACTCTCCCTGACTCGATCAATGAAGAGAACAGATCAATGATTCGTGATCTCTTTGATTGGCTCGTTGATCCTTGTCTTGATTTCGTGCGTCACGAGTGTCAGCTCTTTGTGAACACGTCAGATATTCATTTAACAGTATCTTTAATGAGACTGTACTCCTGTTTGATGGAAGAAATAAAGAAGTAAGTGTAGACTGTGCCATTTATACCACCTACAGTACATGTACATGTAGTTATGTTACATGTACAGTACATGTTTTTAATTTAATTAACTAATAATTTATTATGTTTGTACATGCATGTACATGTACATGTACATGTACATTGTACATGTATGGGATTACTGGTATAATACATGTCTTTAGGTCTGGTAGTGTTGAAGGTTCTGAGATGTCACAGATGCAGATATCACTGTGGCTACAGTGTCTCTTCCTTTTCTCTCTTATCTGGTCCGTGGGTGGTACCATGAACGGAGACTCGAGGACTAAGTTTGACGTGTTCTTTCGTACCATAGTATCCGGAACAGACACTAATCACCCTAGACCAAAGAGCTTTAAACTTGGAAAGGTAGCAACTTAAGCACATTCACCATTCAGTCATATGTACATGTACATGTACAATACATACCAGTACATGTACAAATGTACATGTTAATTTGTTTTTATGTTTTATTTAGGCTAACTTGTTTCCAGAGAGAGGAACTGTTTTTGATTATTTTTTCCAGAAGAATGGTGGAATCTGGGCCAGTTGGGAGGACAGCATTGAAAGGAATATGACTGTAGCAGCAGATGTTAAAGTAAAGTTTTATTTCATTGTATTTTATTCTCTTCTCTCTCTCTCTCTCTTTACTGTAGGTCAGTGATCTTATCATACCTACAGTGGATACAACCAGGCAGACATTTTTCTTGCAAACGTTTGTCAATAATGAGATACCAGTTCTGTTTGTTGGTCCAACAGGTACTGGTAAATCAGCCCTCACCAACAGCTTCCTAGTTAAACTACCAAAAGACAAGTAAGGAAACTAGAGCACTACAATACATTCTAGTACATGTACATGTTAGTTCATACAATATGCATAATTACTGTACACATTATCTCTCTCTCTTTCTCTCTCTTCATCACTTGTATAGATATGTTCCAAATACGATTAATTTTTCTGCTCGCACTTCAGCTAATCAAACTCAAGACATCATCATGTCAAAGCTTGATAGGTAATAATAAAAAGCCAGACACCAGATCTCTACCCTCTATCTCTCCTCTCTATCTCCTCTCTCTCTCTCTCTCTTTCAATAGGCGTAGAAAGGGTGTGTATGGCCCAGGTATGGGGAAGAAGTCTGTTGTATTTGTTGATGATCTCAATATGCCTGCTAAAGAGAAGTATGGGGCACAGCCTCCCATTGAGCTACTGAGACAATGGAGGGACCACTACCACTGGTATGACAAGAAAGACACCTCTAAACTGGAGCTGGTTGATGTGGTAAGTACATGTAAAAAATTATACATGTAGTACACACTTTTTTACATGCATGTACATGTACATGTAACATCTTTGTTGTTGTTGTTGTTATTTTTCTTTGTTTGTTTGTTTGTAGTTGTTAGTATCAGCAATGGGTCCTCCTGGAGGTGGTAGGAACAACATTACTGGTCGATTCACTCGTCACTTCAACATAATATCAATAGAGTCTTTTGATGATAATACACTGACTAGGATATTCACTACAATGGCTGATGCTCACTTTAGCAGAGGATATGATGGTGTTTTCAATAGACTGGGAAAAGTAAGTACATATGTATATGTACATGTATGTAATTGTAAATGTGCATGTATGTTTTTTACATCAAAAATTAAAATTTATATGCATGTACATGTACATGTACTTATGCTATTCAGAAGATTTGAGCTAAGAATTTTGGATGAGCATTATAAAACGTATCATTTACATGTACATGTATTGCTAGGTGATGGTTCTTGCTACAATGTCAGTGTACAAATCAGCAGTAACCACATTCCTTCCCACACCAACCAAGTCTCACTATGTCTTTAACCTGAGGGACTTCTCAAGAGTAGTGAGAGGAGTGTTGCTGGTACCCAAGACACATTTGACTGAAGGAGATAAGCTAATCAGACTCTGGGTACATGAAATTTATAGGGTCTTTTATGATAGACTTATTGATGATAAGGACAGGTGAGATACTGTAAATATACATGTGCATGTACATGTACATGCACAGGAATGTTGCTCTAAAATTGGATGGAAGTTCCTGTACTACAGTACATGGTCTTGGGCCAAATCTCACCAAAATTGAAAAGGAGAGAATTCTCAATTTTTATAATTTTTCTGATGCATATACATGTTGTGTAGAAAGTTTGAGCTGATTCCAATCAAAGTTAGATTTTTTATGAATTTTTGAAGTTATAAAATTGGACAAAAGACTCTAGATATGTTATTCACTGCAGACATATACTGTACATGTATTTTACTTAATCAATCTTTATTATTGTCATTTTTCTCAGGTAATATGCAGTGTTTTATTATTCTCCTTATACATGTTATAGGCAGTATTTCTTTGATATTGTCAAGGAGACGATGCAGAACCAGTTCAAAGTGAGTCTTGATAAGGTTTTAAAGAGACTGGCCTCACCCACTGGAGAGCTAAAAGACGATGACATTCGTGGCCTTTTCTTTGGTGATTATATTAATGCTAATAGTGACCTGAGACCCTATGATGAGATCACTGACTTTGAGGAACTAACTACTGTCATTGAAACGTAAATGATAGACAAGATAAAATAATTAAACTTTATTTTGTTGTTTCTCTCTCTCTCTTTTCTTCTCTCAGGTATCTTGATGAGTATAATCAGGTCACCAAGACTCCAATGAAGCTCGTTATGTTCAAGTTCGCTATTGAGCATGTGTCCAGAATCAGTCGTGTACTCAAGCAGGACAATGGACATGTACTCTGCATTGGTAAGTATAGTACATGTAGTACATGTACATGTGATCCAGTACATGTAATATAATTATTTGGATCATGTACATGTACAGTATAGAAGCTATTAGGAGCTTTGGACTTTAAAAATTATCAGAAAAAATTAAGAATTGTCTTCTAGTCTTTTTTGAACAACTTTATAAAAATTTGCAAAAAAAACTTTTTATTTTTAATCATTTCTACGCAACATACTACTGTAAGAAGAATTCTTCTCTATTGATTTTTTCTATACTACTGTACTGTTATTGTTTCCTTAAGGTATTGGAGGGAGTGGGCGTCAGAGTGCTACCAAACTGGCTACATACATGGCAGGCTATGATCTGTTTCAAATCGAAATCACTAAAAACTACACAACAGTTGAATGGAGAGATGACATTAAGAAAGTATTGAATAACTAACTTATTAGGTAGTACAATTACACTCTCCCCTCTTTCTCTTTAGATGATGATTAAAGCTGGCACTGAGGGCAAAGCTGTTGTATTCCTCTTCAGTGACAATCAGATCAAAGATGAATCATTTGTTGAAGATATCAACATGATCCTTAACACTGGGGACGTACCTAATATCTTCCCTGCTGATGAGAAGGCAGAGATTATTGAGAAGATGCAAGTCATTGCTAGAACACAGGTTTGATTGTACATGTACATTTTATACACAGTAGCTAAGATAAAATGAATTTGTATTATAGTAATAGTCCATTTTATAAAAATAATAAAATAAATAATGAAGTAACTATACATGGCATGTACACATTACTATACTATTAATAATCATGCATTACCAGTAATTGTAATTATTCTGTGCAGGGTAAGAAGATAGAGGCTACTCCTTTGTCAATGTACAACTACTTCATTGAGAGAGTGAGAGAGAACCTTCACGTAGTACTAGCAATGAGTCCTATTGGAGACGCATTTAGGAACCGACTCAGAATGTTCCCTTCACTTATCAACTGTTGTACCATTGACTGGTTCCAGGTATGGAGGAGAGAGAGAGAGAGAGAGAGAAGAGGGATATAAAATGAGAGAGGAGAGATAGAGAGGGAAAGAAAAGAGAGAAAGATGAGTTAAGAGTTTAAAGAAGTACAGTACATGTAGATTGAGGACTTGTTATTGGTTATAGGCATGGCCGCAAGATGCTCTTGAGATGGTTGCCAATAAGTTCCTTGAAGATGTTGATATGGATGACAAGACAAGAATCCACTGTGTATCAATGTGTCAGTACTTCCATCAGGTAGAAACATTTTATACTTGCATTATTATCCTGTGCACATACTGTGTATAATGGTGTACTTTTCATTTCCTTTCTCAGAGTGTAAGGACATTATCTGAGAAGTTCTTCAGTGTCTTGAGGCGTCACAATTATGTGACTCCTACTTCCTACCTTGAGCTCATATTGACTTTTAAGAAACTCTTTGGACTCAAAAGAAATGAAATTTTACTCCTCAAGCAGCGCTACACCACTGGCCTGGAGAGACTGGAGTTTGCTGCTTCTCAAGTAAGAAATAATATACTGATAATAGTAGCATGAGTACATGTATTGATGTTCTTACCTCCAATTTTGTGTAAAAATTTTTGTGTATGTACAGGTACATGTATATTTATTAATTTTTATCATTATTATTGTTTAGGTGTCAGTAATGCAACAAGAGCTAACTGATTTGAGGCCAGAGCTCATTAAAACAAGTGAGGAGACTGCCAAACTGATGGTAAAGATTGAGAAGGACACCATAGAAGCAGAAGCAAAGAAAGAAGTGAGTTGATAACATGATACTGATACTGATATTGATACTGATACTGATATTGATTTATTCTCATTAGGTTGTTGCTGCAGACGAGGCAGTAGCCAATAAAGCTGCTGCAAAGGCTCAAGCAATCAAAGATGACTGCGAGAGTGATCTTGCTGAAGCAATCCCAGCACTAGAGGCAGCCATAGCTGCCCTGAACACGCTCAAACCGAGTGACATCACTCTAGTAAAGGCAATGAAGAACCCTCCATCAGTTGTTAAGCTGGTGATGGAGGCAGTTTGTATCATGAGGGGAATGAAACCAGAGAGAAAGCCTGATCCTAGTGGATCGGGGAAGATGATAGAGGACTACTGGGGGACGTCACAGAAACTGCTGGGAGACATGAAGTTCCTTGACTACCTTAAGAATTATGATAAGGATAACATACAGCCAGCCATCATGAAGAAAATAAGAGAAAAGTAAAATGCTCATACATGTAACTCGAAAAATATTTGTCAGAATCAGCTAAAACTTTCTACGTAGCATAAGGACATCAATATATATCAGAAAATCTAATAAAAATTTGGGGTGATTTTGGAGCCATTTTTTAGAAAAAACCATGGGCTATAGCCTTGGGTATTTTTTTAAAATTGGCTCGTTTTTTTAAATGGTCATAACTTGAAAAATATTTGTCGGAATCAGCTCAAACTTTCTACACAGCATAAAGACATCAATAAGTATCAAAAAATCTAATAAACATTTGGGGCAATTTTGGAGCTATTTTTTGGAAAAAACCATGGGCTATAGCCTTGGGTATTTTTCAAAATTTTGACGTTTTCTTAAAATGGCCATAACTCAAAAAATATTTGTTGGAAATGGCTCAAACTTTCTACATAGCATAAGGACATCAATATGTATTAGAAAATGTAATAAAAATTTGGGGTGATTTCGGAGCCATTTTTTGGAAAAAACCATGGGCTATAGCCTTGGGTATTTTTCAAAATTTGACCTGTTTTTAAAAATGGTCATAACTCGAAAAATATTTGTCGGAATCAGCTCAAACTTTTTATGTAGCATAAGGACATCAATATGTATTAGAAAATGTAATAAAAATTTGGGGTGATTTCGGAGCCATTTTTCGGAAAAAACCATGGGCTATAGCCTTGGGTATTTTTCAAAATTTGACCTGTTTTTAAAAATGGTCATAACTCGAAAAATATTTATCAGAATCAGCTCAAACTTTTTACACAGCATAAAAACATCAGTATGTATCAGAAAATCTAATAAAAATTTGGGGTGATTTCAGAGCCATTTTTTTGAAAAACCATGGGCTATAGCCTTGGGTAATTTTCAAAATTTGGCCCGTTTTTAAAAATGGTCATAACTTGAAAAATATTTGTTGGAATCAGCTCAAACTTTCTACGTAGCATAAGGACATCAATATGTATCAAAAAATCTAATAAAAATTTGGGGTGATTTCGGAGCCATTTTTTGGAAAAAACCATGGGCTATAGCCTTGGGTAATTTTCAAAATTTGGCCCGTTTTTAAAAATGGTCATAACTCGAAAAATATTTGTCGAAATCAGCTCGAACAGCATAAGGACGTCAATATGCATCAGAAAATCTAATAAAAATTTGGGGTAATTTCGGAGCCATTTTTTCAAAAAAATTATGGGCTATAATTTTTTTAAAATTTGCTTGTTTCAAAAAAATGGTCATAAATATTTGTCAAAATCAGCTTGAAACCTTCTGTATGCACATGTACATGTACTTACTGCATTTTAAATTACATGTATATGTATCTTCTATTTCTTTATTGTACATGTAGGTACATAACAAATGCAGAGTTTCATCCAGATGTAGTGAAGACAGCATCCACTGCCTGTGAGGGATTGTGCAAGTGGACGCGTGCCATGGAAGTCTATGACAGAGTGGCCAAAGTCGTCGCTCCAAAGAAAGAAAGTCTTGCCATTGCAGAGCAAGAATTGTCCGTACAAATGGAGAAATTGAACACTAAAAGAGCTGAACTAAAAGCTGTATGTTAATTATATACATGTACATGTACATGTACATGTATATATACATGTATTTATTACAAATTTATAATACTAATACTGTGTTTATACATGTACATTTACATGTATATTGCTTTATTAGTTGTGTTTTCTATATTTATTTTTAGGTATTGGATAAGCTCCAGTCCCTCAATGACGAGTTTGATGCTATGACTGCAAAGAAGGAGCAGCTCGAAGAGAACATTGACATTTGCTCAAAGAAGCTAGACAGAGCTGAGAAACTGATAGACGGACTGGGAGGAGAGAAGGACAGGTGGAGCGAGGCAGCAAGAGAGCTCGGACAATTATACGATAATGTAACAGGGGACGTCCTCCTTTCCTCAGGAATAGTTGCTTATTTAGGAGCGTTCACTGTTGACTTTAGACTAGAATGTGTCAGAGAGTGGCACCGGTTGTGTCTTAATAAAGGTATTCTCTGCTCTGATCCATTCTCACTTAGTAAGACACTTGGACAGCCAGTGACTATTAGGAACTGGCAGATAGCAGGACTACCAGTTGACTCATTCTCTATCGATAACGGGATCATACTATCAAACTCGCGTCGCTGGCCGCTGCTCATTGACCCACAGGGTCAGGCCAATAAATGGATCAAGAACCTTGAAAGACCCAATAAACTAGCCGTTATAAAACTCTCCGATGCTAACTATGCCCGTACACTTGAGAACTCTATACAGTTTGGTACTCCAGTCCTCCTGGAGAATGTTGGGGAGGAGCTGGATCCACTTCTAGAGCCTCTGCTCCTCCGTCAGGTTTTCAAGCAAGGAGGAGTGGAGTATATTAGACTAGGAGAGAATGTCATTGAGTATAGTCAGGACTTTAGGTTCTACATAACTACGAGATTTAGAAACCCTCACTACCTCCCCGAAGTATCTGTTAAAGTAAGTAAATGTATTTCTACACTACATGTATGTACATGTACATGTAATATTCGATTGTACAAATTAAAATGTCTCACTTGTATTTGTTTAGGTGTGTTTGGTTAATTTCATGATTACTCCTACTGGACTAGAGGATCAGTTACTAGGTATATTGGCTGCTAGGGAGAAGCCAGAATTAGAAGAAAAGAAAAATGAGCTGATAATAGAGAGTGCAGCAAATAAGAAACAGGTAGGACAAGACCTTCAATGTTTATTTTATATCAAATTTTTATACTTCTTTGTTAATTTTAGTTGAAAGAAATTGAAGATAAAATTCTTGAAGTTTTATCAGCAGAGGTACAGTGCACTGACTTACTGCATGAAGATTACAGTTGTATTTTTAATAATAATACTATAGGGTAATATATTAGAGGATGAGACTGCTATTAAGATACTCTCTTCATCAAAGACACTATCAGAAGAAATACAAGCCAAACAAGTAGAACACGATCATAATTATCTTTTAATTTTCCTTTTTATTCCATTCTCTTTCCTTAGGAAGTTGCATCAGCCACAGAGAAAGAAATAGACGAGACTCGAAACGGCTACAAACCAGTCGCCTTTCACTCCTCAATCCTATTCTTCTGCATATCAGACTTAGCCAATATAGAACCAATGTATCAGTACTCACTAACCTGGTTCATCAACCTATACACACAGTCAATAGCCAATAGTGTCAAATCAACTGACTTACAGGAAAGAATAGCCAACCTTAACGATCACTTTACCCTCAGTATATACAACAATGTCTGTCGGTCTTTGTTTGAGAAGGATAAACTATTATTTTCTATATTGCTATGTATCGGGTTACTTAAGGGACGTGGGGAGGTGGAGGACGAGAGTTGGAGGTTCTTGCTCACTGGAGGTGTGGCTTTAGAGAATCCTCACCCAAACCCTTTCCCTTCTTGGCTGTCTGATAAGTCGTGGGGTGAGATAGTCAGAGCATCTAATCTACCAGAACTGAAAGGACTGATGAATGGTAAGGGAGAAGGAGAGAAAAAAAATTGTATGTAGTATAACTAAAAGAAAACTAGAATAGATTGTATACATTGTATGTACATGTTAAAATTAAATTTGTTTCTTTTTTTAGACTTCAGTCCAGAATGGAAGACACTGTATGATTCTCCTACTCCTCATGAGACAAAATTTCCTAATCCATGGGAGATGAAAGTCAAAGGACTGCATCGGTAATAAAAACATAATTATGCAAAACCATTGCTTAAATTACGAATGTACATGTATGCTCTTTCTTTCTCTCTCCAGTATGATTGTTCTAAGGTGCATAAGACCAGACAAGATAGTCCCTGCTGTTCAAAACTTCATAACTGATAAAATGGGACAGCAATACATTGAGCCGCCTACCTTTGATCTTGCTGGTAGTTTCTCTGACTCTCATTGCTGTGCTCCTCTTATATTTGTACTCTCACCTGGGGCTGATCCAATGGCTGGACTGTTAAAGTTTGCTGAGGATAAAGGATTTGGTGGGAGTCGCTGTCAAACCATATCACTAGGACAAGGACAAGTGAGATATTTTGATATTCTACCTCTACTTTCATTCCTTTCTCTCTCTCTCTCTTTCTCTTTTAGGGTCCTATAGCTGCTAAGATGATAGATCAAGCTATTGCTGAAGGTACTTGGGTTGTACTACAAAACTGTCACTTGGCCACATCATGGATGCCTAAACTAGAGAAGATATGTGAAGAAGTAAGTGGAGCCTGTATACTGTATAGTGTATATGTACATGCAAGCTCATGTACTGTACATTAATGTACATGTATGTGCATGTATTACATGTACATGTATGTGTGTGTGTTATATTACACTCTCTCTTCAGGTCATTATACCAGAGAATACACACAAGGAGTTCAGGCTCTGGCTGACAAGCTATCCTTCTGAAGACTTCCCTGTCTCTATACTACAGAATGGTGAGTACATGTAATTGGATTTTTACCAGAGCTACATGTAATTCCAATCAAAATTGATTTTTATTGTGAATTTTTAAATTTGCTCAAAATTTGGGCCAAAGTCACAGGGTATTTTATTAATAATGGCTAAGAGAAAATTCTTCATTTTTTTATTGTTAGGTGTTAAAATGACTAACGAGCCTCCCAAAGGAATGAGAGCTAATCTCCTTCGTTCATACCTCAATGATCCAATATCTGACAAAACATTCTTTGAAAACTGCAATAAAGTATATACAGTACATGTACTGTACATGTATTATTGATATCTCCCTCTTCAGCCCAAGTACTGGAGGAAGCTGTTATTTGGTTTGTGTTTCTTTCATGCAATGGTACAAGAGAGAAGGAAGTTTGGTGCTTTGGGTTGGAATATACCTTACGAGTTCAATGAATCCGACCTTAGAATATCAATGAGACAAATGCAGGTAGACATAATGGCTAATAAGTTTAATAGAATTAATATTTATAATTTCTTCTCACTAGATGTTTCTTAATGAATATGAAGAATTGCCTTTTGATGCTCTCACTTATTTGACTGGACAGTGTAATTACGGTGGACGTGTAACTGATGATAAAGACAGGCGATTACTAATCTCTTTACTTTCTATATTCTATACAAAGGATATCATTGAAAATGAAGAATATAAGTGAGAAGAAAAAAAGAGAGAGAGAGAGGCAGAGAGAGAAAGAGCCTTCTTAATGAGCAAAATATACATGTACACGTTGTTGTTGTTGTAGAAGTTATTTATAATAATTCCCTGTGTTTGTTTAGGTTTTCATCAAGTCCATTATATTATGCTCCACCTCATGGAGAGTTCCAGTCATACATTGACTATATCAGATCACTGCCAATAATACCTCATCCTGAAGTCTTTGGATTGCATGAAAATGCTGACATTACTAAAGATAATCAGGAAACATTTCAAGTAAACTATTTATTTATTTTATCATTCATAAACTTTATTTTTTATTTATTCCTTCAGTTGTTTGATAGCATATTGTTAACATTGCCAAGGATGACTGGAGGAGCTGGTAAGTCACCACAACAAGTTATTGATGAACTAGCGAGTGACATACTTACCAAACTACCGCCTGACTTTAACATGGAAAAAGTAAGAGAGAAGCAGCATAGAATAATGTAGTCATCTTTATTTTTAGGTTATGCACTTGTTTCCAGTTGTATATGAGGAGTCAATGAATACTGTACTGAGACAAGAGTTGATCAGATTCAATAGATTGACGTCAGTTGTTCGTTCAACATTACAAAATATCAAAAAAGCACTCAAAGTTTGTGACATAAAAAACTAAAACTACAATGATATTATTTTTTGGCTTATTAGGGTCTTGTTGTAATGTCATCAGAATTAGAAAATGTGTTTGATAATATGATTACTGGTAAAGTACCAGCAGTCTGGGCAGCTAAATCTTATCCATCACTGAAACCTCTTGGTGGATATATTAATGACTTACTGGCAAGGTAGAGGAAAATGACTGTGAATGTAAATATTACTCTTTCTTTTCTCTCACTCTCTTTCTCTAGACTCAAGTTCTTTCAGGATTGGATTGAAAACAAAGCTCCTCCTGTGTTTTGGATATCAGGCTTTTACTTTACTCAATCCTTCTTGACAGGTAAGGAGGAAGCATAGACAATGTAACTTACACTATTCATTGTAGGTGTATCACAGAATTTTGCTAGAAAATACACAATACCAATTGATAAGTTAGGATTTCAGTTTGAAGTACTGGAAGAAGAAGATACTATGTCTCAGAAACCTGATGATGGAGCTTATGTTAAAGTAAAAATTACTATCAACTTAAGGCGGATTTACAATATGACATTAGGCCAGCGTACCGTCAATTTTTAATCAAAAGCGTGGGTGATTTGACCTTTGACGCATGCTTTCCGCTGGAATAGAACCAGATTCTATTCCAGCGTCAACGTAACGTCAGGACTAGCGTAATATTGTAAATCCGCCTTCACACATGTACATGTACATATGTGTATACTACATTTAATGTATGATTATTATCATTATTATCACTATAGGGTTTATTTATGGAAGGTGCTCGCTGGGACAGAGAAGCAAAGGTGATTGGTGAATCAAAGCCAAAGTCCCTCTATGACAACCTACCCATAATCTGGTTAAAGCCTGGTGAAACACTCAAATTTAAACTAGCTCCAACTTATGCTGCTCCAGTTTATAAGACTAGTGCTAGGAGAGGTACACTCTCAACCACTGGACACTCTACTAATTATGTACTTACCATGCAACTGCCTTCTGATAAACCAGAGAGCCACTGGATCAATAGAGGAGTAGCTATACTCTGCCAATTGGACGATTAATATCACTTAATTTACAAATTTTAAATCTTTAGAGCTATTATTGTCAATTAAAATAACTTGAATAACAAAAAAATTAAATTAAATTAATATTGTTGTACAACATACATTACACTATCACTAATTAAATCATTAAACTAATCAATGATTAATCTAAAATCTCTCTTGATAATCTTAAATATACTACAGCAGCTTCAATTTTCTCTCTAGTTGCCTCATTTCTTTTGTCTAACATTGACAAAATTGTAAAAACTTGTAGCCATGGTGGGCATTCTTTATATAAAAATATGAGATAGTGATTATTGATTGTAACAGATAGTCGTTGAGCAAAATTGTTTAGCTTTTGCTTTGATTTAATATGTGGTCCAATTTTTTGAGCCCATTCTAGAAGTTTCTCTACATTTACTGGTTCTAAGAGATTTAAAGTAGACAAACAAAATTAATATTATGTATCATTAAATGCTATAATAACAATACCTCTTCGTTCTTCCTTGTCTTTTTTCTGTAATAATAATGATAATAATTCTGTAAAAGAAAATAATAAGCTCACCTTTTCAATGAGTTCCTTCCAACATTTCCTTTGTAGATTGGTTGATATCTTGCATTCATGACACCATGATGATTCACTTTGAGGAAAAAATTCAAACACTTTCTTAGCTGAATCTATCAAATCATCTGCCTGTATTGAAGGTGGTGTGAGGCATTTTAATGCTAGCTTATAAGAAAAATCTTTTATAATATTGGTTATTTTTGACAGTGCTTCACTGCAACAGTTTAAAATATATTGAAAAACATTAAATTCTACATTTCTCCTCGATGTAGCACAAGCCACTTCAATATATGCATCATGAAATATAAAAGAAAATGTGTATTCTTGATGTTGAGTGGTTTGCAAAAATATTTTGAAGATATTTCGATGCTCTAATCCAACTTGTAAAGAAGATTTTTTAATACCAGGGCCTTGACTATGTGTTAGTAATTGTGATGCAAAAAAACACTGACAGTCACATAAATTCAACCTTGATTCATAAACTATAAACAATGATGTATTTGTAGTAGTTGACTTTTCTAATATGTTACTACTATTTGCCAAAGGTACAAAAATGAATGGATCACTTTTCATTTTCATTGCTAAGCCAAACGAGCATAATACATCTATGATTACATTTGCTAGCTCTTTGTTGCAAATTATTTCACTTATATGCTCAATTGTATATAGTCCATTAAAATTTGCTTTCCCATCTGGTATTCTAAAGAGTAATGACAGTGTGTTGATAAACTCCACTGGACGAAGAATAATAACATTTTGCAGAGGTTTGAATGATGGAAAATAAAGGATGCTCATAAATTTAGAAAACAATTCCAAAAATTCTTTGACCTCCATTCCTTTAATTCCTAACTTCTCTGCAATATTTTTTAATTTCTCATAAGAAATGATTATGTCTTCTGAACAGGAATGCAGTGCACTACGTAAAAATAGCCATGACAATTTGATATCTCTTCTTGAAATGCATTGTTCATTTACTTCCCTATCCAGTTCATTCCTTAATTTTTTCATGTCATTTAATGAATATGGATCAAGAACTAATGCTGTTGCTTTGAGTGGTTGCTTATAGGTTAGATTTGTAATTGCTCCCAGAAGCATATCTTTAGCTATTTTTCGATCATTTTCGGTGTCTCTCTCAGAGCAAATAATAATGAAAATAAAGGGCGCTGCAGAAAAATGCATTTTAAGAGCATCGCGTATAATGTGTAAAACTCTTGTATTAATAGCTGCTATATCAGCACTTTTATGGCTTGGATTGGATGGTCTATTTAGCACATCATTAATTGATAAGCATACAAAGCCCAAATTGTAGCTCAGGTGATTAAAAATACAAGTAAAAAATTTGTTGGCTCCTGCATTGGTACCGTCATCTATTATATTCACGTCAACCATTCTTGAGGATAGCATGCGTTGAAACTCATAATTACACTCAGTTAAATCTCTTTGCTTTAAACTTTTACAGACAGCATTAAAATGAGCGTCAAGAATCGTGTCTTGAAAAATTTGATTTGCATCACCATTAAAAACAATATTTAAACTGTAGTCATAAAAATAGCTCATACTTAAGATCGCTGAACTACAAGGATGTGCTTCTTTTAATTCTCTAGCCAGAATAAACCAAAGGTACTTATCTGAATTACGCTGCAATAGTGTTGTGTTGTAAACAGATAAGCCTTTTTCATTGTACTCAATAGTTGATAAAGCATCAAGACCATTAGGAATAGTATATGCTGCTTCTTTCAAAAAATTATGAATTAAAATTGATTTTCTTGAGAAAGGTAGACCCAAGAAAGCAATTAGAAATAAATTGCAAGGGATGGTTTCATGTAAAATGATGTCTTTCATTTTAGTAAAAGAAATTTCAAATTGTCTAGTTTCTAAATGAAAATAATGAAAATATAATAGGCATAAAAGATTCTAATGTAATTAAAAGTCTTACTTGGTTCATTCCTTAATTGAATATCCTCTTTGAAGCCATTGGTAAGTAATAATTTACCATGCGAAACTACATTGTGAGTTGATGTGCTTTCCTGTAGCTATAAATAGATTTATGCATGGATTTTTTATTTTACCTTTTGCGATCCAAGTACTATTTGTGCATGCATAATAACATCAGGTAATTCAGGTTGGTTTCCAATCACAAATTGACTATTACTAGGTCTTCTTTTCATTGGCTGATCTCTTACCTCCTTTATAAAAATTAACAATATCTTTAACAACATTCATGAATTACTTTTACTCATGATTATATTTAGCATCCAATGATAATAGTCTCAGTGGGGTTGTTAATCATAATCAAATTTATAGGCATGCATATCATATCAAATAAAGGTCTTCTTATAAGACTACATTCAATGTAAATCTAGATAATTAGTGACAAATGCAATGTTTAATATGGCAATTGCAAATTAGGCAACAAAAATTAAGAATAGTAAAACTCTTACTTTTTCAAAATCAGTACAACTTTCTGATGGCATATCTGCAGTTGTTAACCAACCAAAAGTACTTATCTTTCCTTTTGTATTTTTGTTTGGTGAGGCTGACCAATCTTAACAACATTTAGATAATAATGATGTATCATTATAATGATAATAGGCATGTACATCATATCAAATGAAGGTCCTCTTATAAGGTTACATGCAATTTAAATCTAGGTAACTATTAACAAATACAATGATAAATTTCAAAATGGCAATTGGTAGCACCAAGAGTACATTATGTACTCTTCGTAGCACAAATTAAGAATAGTAAAACTCTTACTTTTTCAAAATTAGTACAACTTTTTGATGACATATCTACATGTACTTGCTTGGCAGTCGTTAAATAACCTAAATTACAATAGCGTATAAAATTTAAAATTTTGTTCACACACATGTACTTTTTCTTCCTTTTGTATTTTTGCTTGGTAAAGCTGACCAATCTTCTTTAAGTTTAGATATAACAACATTTAGATTTAATTTTTCCAAAATTTCAATAAAAATGTTGTAGTGTTTTTTAAGCTCTTGAAGGTTTCTACTTGATTGTAGTTTGGTTTTAAACTCATTCATGATTGGATCAAATTCCTTAGATTTAGCTAAGTGTTTCAAAATCATTTGATTAATGAAATAGTCTACACCATCTAAAACATATCTAAGTGAATTATCACACTTTTTTAACCTTTTTTCTATTTCCTGGAACCATAACTTCACTTGATCCATATCGGTGGATAACTGCTGAATTGAAGATGATAGCTCTGTAATGTCAATATCACGTAAACTTATTCTTTGTTGACTAGTCAGAGGAAATATGAGAGAATGAATAAAATCAGGAATCCAATATTCCAAATAAGAACCGTTAAAAACAAAGCTGAAGTAAATATAAAATCCTGGGACATTTAATGCAGCTTTTGCTATTAAATTGTGTTTACAACACATAAAGAGATCATATAATGAGTAGTCTTCACGACCAATTTCAGCAATAACTCTTATAGTAGCAGCTGGAGGACTGTTGAATTCACCAAATTGTACACCTTCGACATCTTTTAAATAGAATTTACCTAAATTTTGTTCACTAAAGTAACTACTTAACTTATTTTCATAATCCCGCCAATTTCTTCTCAGTACATTGTACCTACTCATGAATGTTTCAATAAGCCGTTTGATAATAAAATCAAACTTAAACCATGACAAATACTTCTGCTGCAGAAGTGTAAACAATTCTTCAATTGATTTAATGTTTTTAAATTCCTTTTTCACTGCCTGTACTAAAGTGGGATTAGAGCTATGAGGACCAAGTGAGGAAATAATGTGTTTTATTAGAAAATCAACAATTTCAGGAAAATTTGACTTTGAGCTGAAGAATTGCATCGTTTTTTGAAGAACCTCAGCAAATTCTATCTGCAGTTCATATATCTTGCTCAGTAATGAAAAATTTCTTTCGTCAACTTTTAAAGAAGTGACTCCAGCTGGTAGAGGATGCTCACAAGCTATTTCTTTTGCTAATGCTGAATCACCTACTTCTTCAATGGCTACACATACCAACCTCCAACATGGAACACCATATTGCTTGTACTTGCGATCTCTTTTCAACCAATATTCAAGTACCTTTTTTATACAATAATTTGGATCATAAGATTTATTCTCTTTTAAGTGATCAATTTTTAGCTGTTCAAGGTGAAGTGATTTAGCAAATACAACCCATTTGGCAGAAATACTCTTAACTTTGTTGTATACAACATCAAAATCATTAATTCCTGTGAAGTTAAAGTGAATAGTGTTATGGACAATAAAACCCACCTAAATCTCTGTTGCTGATTCCAGCAAAAAGTAGATGGCTGGTAGCTATTGGCTATGTAAGAAATTGTATCATCAGATATACATGTTATAGATAAACTACAGATGTTGAGGGTTACTGGATATACACGAGGATGTTAGGTACATGTAGATGTATAAATAATATCAATAGTAGATCTGCTCTTGATAATATAAAATCTAGTGGTCATTATGAGATACTGTATGTTGTTTTACAATTAACTTCAGTTGGGTAGGACTATTTGCATGGTCTGACATAATGACTGAAAGTAACTATGATCATAAACAATAAACCCCATCATAAACATATCCCATAAGCACATCAAAAAATAAATGTGTGCTACATGTACATGTACATGGCCCATGAAGACAATAGGTGACTTTTTGAATCATAGGGTTTTGTTTTTTAATTATGATCAAAATTCGAACATATTGGTGCAAAGAACATGCATGCCAATGATTACAAGATATTATTACAAGATGATAATATGCATGAAAAATCTCTTACCTTCTCTATGAGTTGAACTTTATGATCAAAGCAGTCTAAAAAATTAACACATTATAAGATATTGATAAACAAAATTATACAGACTTGACTTACCATTATCAGAAGTGGAGTGATGGGATTTTTCTGATGTTTTGAACTATTAAATAATAAACCAGATTAATTATAAAGTATAGTGAGCCATTTTCACAGGATTAAATTTTATGGATTAGAATAAAGGCGTCAACTGTAAAAAATTATTATTATTATAATTTTTCATGACACACATGAAACTTTAATCCCACATACATGTAAATAATTAGCTACAGCTCAGCTGTAATACCTTTTTTAAATCATAAGAATGTTTCCCATCTCCATCTATTATTTCAGCAATCCCAAGATCAGCTAACCCCACTTTTTGTTCCTTTGACAAAGGAAATATAGACACATAAACAAAATCAGGGACCCAATACTCCAAATAAAGAGAACTAGTATAAACAAAACTGAGGTAAAGATTATGTTCAGGAACATTTAATTCTTTTGGTAATTTTTTACGAAGGAAGAAAAGATCATCTAATGTATAGCTGTCATTATCAACTCTAACAACCATTATTTTTGTACCAGGTGGAGGGCTATTATTTTCACCGAATTGTACATCTTCAGCATCTTTTACTATGACACCACTGGTCTTGAAATAATCTTTTATTTTCCTTTCATAACGTAACCAGGTGCGCTTCAATGTCTTATTAGTGGGCAAAAATCTCTTAACAAGTAGAATAATGAGTTCGTAGTTAAACCAAGATAAATACTTTAGTTGCAAAATACGAAACAAATCTGAGAATGTTGTAACCTTACATTGAAGTTCTTCTATAGCTGTCTCTGCCTCTGGACTTTTTCCTCTTTGAGGTCCAAGCAGTGCAAAAATGCGACCTTCAAGGTAATCGATGACATCTGGAAGAAGAGTTTTCTTAAAAGATTCTTTTGTTTCATCAAGAGCATCTGAAAATGCAAGTTGCAGGTCAAATAGCTTGTTGACTAACTCAAAATTTCTTTCAACTGATACATAAATTTTTGAAATAACCCCTGCTCTTGCTGGTTGAGGATGCGTACGAGCTATTTTGTCTGCCAATGCTGGGTCACCTGCTTCTTTAACAGCTATGCATACCAACCTCCAAGATGGAATGCCATAATTCCTACAATCATAATTTTCCCACTTCAACCAACGTTCAAGACTGTCCCACAGGCAATCTTCACATTTTTTACCATGATCTTTTTCTACTATGCGAATTGTATCTTGTGTAAGGTGAAGACATTGAGTGAATTGCTTCCAGTCAGCAGAAATGCTCCTGACTTCTTTATATACAAAATAATGATCATTGATACCTAAAATAGTTATGATATTATTGTGTTTCAAACAGACTCACCTAATTGTCTGTTGGAAACTTCAGCAAAACTTGCTGAATGCGGAGGACAAGTTGGATCCAGGCTATCATTAGCACTGGCTTCCGTAGTCATTGCACGAAATTGAGCAAGACCACTTGAGCATATAGCAGGTTAGTTTTCTTTTGCGTCGCGTTTTGTAGGGAAATTGATGTGCGCATAGATACTAGACTGTATGCGGGACTGAGGGTTGCTATGGATACTAGCGCATAAAACTGCATACGCGCGCCCTCGCTTTTCTCGTGCATGCATGCCCGGCGCCCGTGGGCGTTAACAAGTGTGACCGTGACGTTGGTAAAATAAAATGGCGGATGTTGAGTATGATGAAAATGATGAAGAGAGGAGCAGTGCTAGTCGAGTTGGTGCTGGTAGTGGATATAATGGAGACGAAGAGGAGGAGGAGGCAACCAGTTCACTGACAATGAGTGAAGTGGTAAATAAATTATTAAGAAAAATATAAAAATATTTTAAATGATAAAAATAGTACATATAAATTATTTTTAAAAATTTGATTATGTTTCTTCAGCACACTTGTGGTCGTGTTTTACTTCGTACTAATCCAAGAAACTCAATAGCAATATTCACCGCTCCTTATGATGACCATGATGATGATCATAGCAACAGCGACAAGGAGACTGCCACTAGTACTGACCTGTATGAGGTCCAGTGGTCTGGCATTGTACTAACAACTGATTCTGTACGGAAACTCGTTAGTCAAAGCCACGCCTTCTTTATGGAGCTACAGGAGTATGCAGGGAAAGGGATGGACCCTGATGTGTGTGTTAAATACAGTCGACTCTACAGGGTAGCTTTGTATGAGTGCACTCAAGGACTGAATTATGAGTGTGAGTTGGTTGAATTAATATAAGGGAAGATAATACATGTCTCTCATATAATTACTCCTATTTTGGACAATGTTTTATTATAATTACTAATATTAATTATATTATTTTATTATCATCATTATTATTATTATTATTATTATTATTATTATTTTATTTTTCTTTTTAGGTGAGAATGTTGATTTAGAAGAGAATGAGTTACAAGACATAAAAGGTCAGCTTGAGATGTATTCATTGCTGAATGTTCTGTGGCACTTGTGTGAGATACTGTTCATTGAGACATTGCCTGTTGGCTGCCTTATACAGCAACTGCTGGAATGGGTAAGAGAGAGAGGGGAGGGGAAAGAAGAGCTAACTTTAGGAAAGAGAGGGAAAGGAATGAGAGAGAGAGAGAAGAGAGAGAGAGAGAGAAATCAGAGTGGGAGAGTGATTATAGCTAGGAACAGAATTTTCCACAAAGTGTGATAAGTGAGAACATTTCATGAGGTGACAAGTACTGCTTTATAGTGTGTGGCTTTTGGAATAACTTTAAAAATTCATAAAAAATCCAATTTTGATCAGAATCAACTCAAACTAGATATACAACATCAGAGCATTTATATGTATCAAAATAAATTATTAAAATGGAGGATTCTCTTCTTGTCATTTTTGTGAAATTTGGCCCAAGACCCTGTACTACAGTACAGGGACTTTGGCCTGATTTTTTAGCAACTTTAAAAATTCATTAAAAAATCCAGTTTTGATTGGAATCAGCTCAAAGTTGAAACACAACATAAGAACATGTATATGCATCAGAAAATTTTATAAAAATGGATAAATCTCTCCTAGTCATTTTTGACAAAGCACCATGGATCAGGGTTTCCTACAAAGCTCTACTAATCAAGCTAAACATCATACCTCACAAGCTGACATATTATGTATGATTACATTTATGTGATATATTAATGTTAACAGGTACGTTGGCATGATAGAGGAGACACTGATGATGTAATGAATGATGTAATGAGTGGAGTCCGTCCTGACACTCATCAAGACTACTGGAGCATCGTATACAGACTAACACTACAAGGAAGGATTGATGATGTACGGAAATTACTAACTTATTCTTCATATTGTAAGGAAAATAAAAAAGTAAGTACAATTGGTGCACTAGTATAGATACCATTATAATATATATTCCTTTCTTAGGTTTTTGATAGCATTGATGAATTATTACGTAAAGTCCCAATGATAAAGTATTATTGCTATAATATTATTATTGTTATGAGTAGTAATGTTGTAGGTCAGTGATAGGTCACTCCAGGACTGAGCTGATGGGTCTTTGGTTTGTATGGAATCAGGAGTGCAAGAGGAGGAGAGACAGACAGGACTTTGTTGGCTGTCCACAATTGAATCTACTGTGTGGAGTATGTCACATAGTAGTCTGTACTGTTATATTAAATTGTTTTCTTCTCTCCTTTAGTTATTGTGTGGTGATAAAAGCTGCTTCAGTCGACCAGAGTAGGTTTAGATTATAATTTAATTTAGTTTTTTTTTTCATTTTTTTTATTTAACAGAGTCATTGATTGTTGCAAGATGTGGTATGATATGTTAGTTGGTAGACTCCTCTACACTTCTCCACTCATTCTCAGCACTGATTATGACCTACACGTCATTGCTAAGGTAATGGGAACAACAGAGACAGAACCACCTCTCCTTCCCTCCCTCCCTCTCTCTCTCTCTCTCTCTCCCTCTCTCTCCTCTAGGATTGTCTTAAACTCTATTGCGATCACAAAGGAACAGCTCCATATTATTTTGACACCTTTATATTGTCAGCTCTTGAGAATAAAGTGATTGATGTAATAAAAATGGTTAGGTAAGCTGTTAGAGTATATTTTTTAAAATGCTTTAAATGTCACAATGTACAATGTATTTATTATTATTTTCACTAGTTCTAAATTGAGTAATTGGTGGTTTGTCAGTCACATGACTAACTTGTTGCATCATCGGGGATCACTAGTGACATCACAATTAGAGTGAGTCTAGTTGTGGGTGTGTCTTCATTAAATGGGTGTGGTTTTAATAGGTACGGCAGTCAATTGAGCGAATTCCTATTAATAGAATATGCAACGGCACTCTTTGTACATCCAAGGTAAGAATTTGATTTTTGTGCAAAGGAATAATATTTTATGGAAACTTTCTTATAATTATTATAGTCACTATTGAAAATGCTAAAATCTATTAATTCACTGTATTTTTCTTTTAATTGTTTTAGTTTGTGGGAAGTTGCTATTAGTTATTTAAGCTATTGTCCAACACAAGGAAGGTACAAATGCTTATTAACGATCGTCAGAATATTAATTTAATTTTTATTAAAGACATTTTATGTGTTCGCTGGTTGAGAGAGTTCCACTGACCACCTCAACTAAAGCTCTTAAACTGATAAGACTCTGTCAACGCTATGAAATGACAGAAGAAGGTTGGATCACTTGACGGCAGGGTTTCCCACAAAGCATGCTTAGTCAGCTAAAAATAGTACATGTACATGGCTTTGGGGCAACTTTTAAAAATTCGTAAAAATCCAATTTTGATTGGAATCAGCTTAAACTTGGTACGCAACATAAGTACATGTATATGTGTCAGAAAAAATTATAAAAATGAAGAATTCTCTCCTAGCCATTTATGGCGAAATTTGACCAATGTCCCTGTGCTATAGTACAGGGACTTTTGCACAAATTTTGAGCAACTTTCAAATCTACTGACAAGAACCTGCATGAGCACTATGTCAAAATCCTGTGGGGAACCCTGCATTACAGCTCACATGAGCAATGCTTATCATGCATGTATTTTATATTATAGCCCAGAGTATCTGCCGTGTACTAGCGAGAAGGTGCTATGGTGATGGTAGGATGGGATCAGCTCTCACCTGGTGCATCAAAGGACAGGATGCTACCTTTGCTGCCTTCCTAGCTGAGAAGTAAGGAAAGGGAAGGACTGCCAGAGAATCCTTTGCTTTGTGTCTCTCTAGGTATTTTGATTTCTATGAGAGTATCGGTGAATTTGGTGACCTCAGTATTCTTGATTATCTTGGTGATGCTGTCCTCCTCAGCAACAGGCTTGCCTTCTTAAGTAAATACAACCTAATAATCATAATTACTATTACTAATATTATTCTCTTTACTAGGTAAGTATAGAGATTTTCACAAACAATACAGTTTTGGTAATTACGAGGCAGCTGGACAGTTACTAGTCAGCCTTCTAACATCAGGAATCACTCTTAAAAAGTATCAGTATCATTTCACAAGTGCTCTCTATTTCTCTTCTCTAGATATTGGTTGACTCTATTGACTGATTCTATTCCATTACTCCAAATACCTGACAAGGTCAGTTTGTCTATTAACTGTATTCCCTATCCTTTCCATTGTCATTATAGTGTGTATTCAGTTCAGCTGATACATATGAATTACTTCACATACTACAAGAGATTGACAACACCTCTTCATACTCTGATCAAAAAGACATGATAACGTCACAAGTAATTAAACCATTTATGATCTTAAATTATATATTTTACTGCTGTACAGTCCAGTACTAATGTAAAATATTCCTTTTCTTTTAAAGGATGAGTTCAGTATCAACAAGATATCATTACTAAGATTAGCACTAGTGAGGAATCTACAATCATCCCTTGTCCTCAGAGAAAGAAAGCATTAACATCAAAGACAGCACACACACACCACAGACCCTACACCTATGCACACACAAAATCATGCATTACTTTTGTAACCTTCCACAAAAGAATTTGATATTCAGTCTCATGGGAAGGGAATGAAGTATTTTATATACTATCAGTATCAATCATTATCTCTTGAATTATAATTATTATAATCAAAACAATACAATGTGATGACACATGCAACATTATTCTAGTCATGTGATCACTTATGATAAGAATGGTTCTTTCTTCTTCCACGAGCTTTCTCAAACTTCCTTCCCTTGGATCTCACATACGGCTTGGAATGACTAAACGGAACGCCAGGTGTACCAAAATGCTTGACAGCTTCACGGGCTTTCCTTGGACCTAATTAATAATGACAGAATTATGAATTGATAGTTCAGGGACTTTCATTACTAGCCTTGAAGCAAGATTGTGTTTTGTCCACGAGGTGCTCTTAACGCAAGTTGATCAAATGTGATGATTTCACCACCTGATTTCTCAATCCTAGCCCGAGCTTGCTCAGTTACTTTAAGGCAGCAGACTGTCATCTTGGGCACTTTCCACTGCCTGTGATCATTAGTGACGGTACCAACAACAACAGCTGTCTTCTCACTACGATCGGGTTTCTTCATCTGCATAACCTAACAAGACAAAGAATGGGTGTGGTTAAGAGAGGAGGTGACACGTACGAGACGAGAGAGAGAGAGAGGTGGCCTGTTGGTCCTGCTCATGTAGAGACGCTTCAGGACAACACGATTGAAAGGAGATTTAGTCCTTCGAACAAGAAACCTGTACAACTAATCACAAAAATTAATAATAATAAATACATTGTACAAAACATTATTAATGAATTAATTCATCGAATTCAATATCTTACTTTAACTAGTAGCTTTAGGTAGACATCATTAGACTTAGGCCCCCTCCTATACACCTTCCTCTTATTCCTATGGTCTATATCTATACCCTATAAAATATCATGTGTCAATATTATAATAATTAAATTTATTATTACTGAATTAAAATGCACAGAGGCAACTAAGCAACAATAAAATAATCCAATATGTATATCAAGGTACTATCTAGTAAATACAGTCACTCTAATACATGGAGTCTATGCATGATTGATGTGGATAATAGTTTCACTTACCATCCCTTTTTCTTCTTTCACCAAAGGCCAACACCGCGCATGTGCTCAGCCTTAAAAAATTTTAAAGGGCGGGGCTGATTTTAACCGGAAGTAAAAAAAACGAAACCGGAAGTAAAAAATGACCGGAAATGAGTCTTGAACCGGAAGTGAATTGAGATAATGAGGTGATTACATCCGGTTTGATTTATTTTTGGCAACAATAACAATTATGTCACAGAGTTAGCTAGCAAAAATAATCTGCTGGCCATAAAATGAGCAAGTGACTTCAGCAATCAATCTAAACTGCTAAGAGTAAGAGAACAAGCAAAGAAAAAACTCCCTCACTCGACAGACTGATCTGTGACTGATCTGATGGCTGATCAGTTGTGGTTTTATGTAGTAAATCAGCAAGAGAATGAGCTGAAACAATTTTTAAAGGATAATAAAGGAACTTTTGATATAAACAGGAGAGATGCTAGTGGTAGGACCTTACTAGACTATTGCTGCCCTACTGTTGGCTATATATCAACTACAGTCTATTCAGAAACTAGTAAGTATTATTATACTGTATGGAAATATAAAATAAAATAAAATTGCAAACCTGAATTCAATCTACTCTTGATCTTATGCATATATATAAATATAATTATTTAGTTAAATCAATATAGATCTAATTAGACGACAGTGTGTTCTATGTTGACAACTTTCTTTTCCTTTATTTATTATTAGCAAAGTATTCGGCTTACATAAGAATAGCAAAGGACTTGCTAGACAATGGTTCCGATCCTAACTCTGCTGATCAAAGGGGCTGGACCATCATTCACCAATGTGCTATTGTCGGTGACCTCACCCTCCTTTCTCTCTGTATGCTCTACGGTGCAAACTCCTCTCTCTATAACCACGGGGGTCAGCTACCCGTTGACCTTGCTTACCTCAAGAAACACGACCATATTGTCGAATATTTAGAAAAGCATTCTCTATCTCTCAAACAACTGTGTAGAGTGACAATAAGAGATGCAATGGGCCCAAGGACTTACAACAGGATTAATGAACTACCACTACCTCCTTCTCAAAAACTATTTATTAATTATGGGAATCCTTTCGTAGGGTGGGTCGGAACACTCTATGTGCCCCGACCATGGACAGACGATGATATTAGAAGTGGTAGAGTCGACAAAGGAGATGTGCTTGCATTTTTTGTGACAAACGCCAGCTCTGAGTTTATGGAGGAGAAAGAGATTGAGGACAAGTGGCAGAACCTCACTTTTAGTGATTTGGCAGAATTATTCGAGTCGCTATACTTTTGGGAGTCTTTCAAAACTATTGACTATGAAGAGCCTCTGGCTCGGAAACCTCGTTATGCACTGGAGAAGCTAACACTCAGAGATGAGGAGGAGGAGGGAGAGAGGGGAAGAGAGAGGAACAGGAGAGAGAGGGAGAGCAGTGAATTTAATTTTTCTAGAATTTTTAGACGAAGAAATTAGGTTTAACTTAAATTAAATTTTTTAATCATCCAATTACATGTTTTGAATTTTTATTTTATTATTGTATGCATCAGAAAATATAATGAATTCTCTCTGAACCATTTCTGATAAAATAGTAGATACATGGACTATAAAAGGGTCCATGTTTTTTTCTCCTTTATTCTAAACCAACTTTTGAAATTTCTAAAAAAATCCAATTTTACCCAAAGTTTCTACAAAACATAAGAACATGTATGTATAATTATAAAAATAAAGAATTGTCTCCTATTCAATTTTGGCAAAATTTGGCCCAAACCATGTACATGTATGTACTTTGGCCCAATTGTTGAGTAACTTTAAAAATTCGTAAAAAAATCTAATTTTGATCGGAATCAGTTCAAACTTTCTACACAGCATAAGAACATGTATATGTATTAGAAAAAAATTATAAAAATTTAAAATTGCTCCCTTTTTATTTTTGGTGAAATTTGGCTGAAATCGTTGTACTATAGTACAGGGACTTTGACCCAATTTTTGAGCAACTTAAAAAATTCATAAAAAAATTAAATTTGATCGGAATCAGTTCAAACTTTCTACACAACATAAGAACATGTATATGTATCAGAAAAAATTATAAAAATGTAAAATTGCTCCCTTTTCATTTTTGGTGAAATTTGGCCAAAATCGCTGTACTATAGTACAGGGACTTCAGCCCGATTTTTGAGCAACTTTAAAAATTTGTAAAAAATTTAACTTTGATCGGAATCACTTCAAATTTTCTGCACAACATAAGAACATGCATATGTATTTTAAAAAATCATAAAAATAGAGAATTGTCTCCTTTTCATTTTCGGCAAAATTTGGCCAATGACCCTGTACTATAGTACAAGTACAGGGAATTTTTGAGTAACTTAAAAAAATTTGCCCCCTTGAATTTCAAGCTAGTGCATATTACAGTACAAAAGAAGAGTTATACTTCATGTAATAAAATTTAACATAAAATTCTTCATGTGCTATTCTTGTTTTTGTCTTGGCAAAGAGGCTGCTTTATCAATAAGCTACAAAAACAAAACATTGTTACATAAATCAACTTTAACTTCACAACTTACATGTTTAGGTCTTATCCACTCAATAATGTACAACAATAAATGAGCCGTTGCTATCCCGAGAACATAAATAATAGCTATGACAATAGAACCACGATTATAATACCTACAAAAATATAAAATGAACTCACAACTTACTTGTCACCCACTAATAATATTTAATGTGCAATTGAGAGGTAGTGTACCATTGAATGGGTGCATTGACACAAACAAACAAACAGTAGTGGGCCTAGTGGCATCCTTAGAAATTTAACCCCAAGACCTTCATTTCCATTTATCCTCTTCTAAAATCACATCATTCGCTTAATATAGGAGTGAGTACAGGCATGTATACTGTACAGTGATTAGAATAAAATTTTCCATTTTTATAATTTTTCTAATACATACACATGTTTTTTGTTGTGTAGCTGGTCAAATTCCAACCAAAATTAAATTTAAAAAAATTTTTTTAAGTTGCTTCAAAATTTGGCCAAACTTCATGGGCCAGGGTCTTTGACCTATCATTAATATTACTAGTCCTTTCATTCTAGAATAATATATAGAGCTTTCATTTAGTTGAATTTTTTAAGAGCAAAATTGTCATCATTAAAACTACCAGTCATTAATGTACATGCTTGTTAAAGCACACACGTGTGCACATCATGCTCAATAGTCCAATTAAAAAAATGCAAAGAAGTGCATTTTTGCAGGGAAACTACCAATGCAAGGCATGCAGACGTTTGTTTAACATTTAATTGATGTACACGTGTAATTATAAGGATGAGTTGACACTCACATCATTGAATCATATTCTAATATCAACAGGACATTAACGCAAACCAATCACCATCATGTACACACATGTACATGTACATGCCAGTAAATGCAAAGAATGTTGTAATGCATATGTACATGTATATATATGTATTTTTGCTAGTATCTACTGTACATGTACATGCACATACATGCATGTGTGTTTTATTTTATTTGCTCATTTGGGCTACAATGTTCAAAGCGAATTATTACTACTGGACCATGATTTGATTTGTGCATTATAATTTAGTTACCAATTTGGCATCTTGCACCTTCATGCATCAAAACAATGGCTGTTACTAGGTCACTATTATTCAATTTTGTCGGTAATCAGTTTAAGGTACACAATAAGTGTCATGCCTCTTAATAAAGTTATTAATAACCATTAATAACTACCATTAATAACCATTAATAACCATTAATAACTATTAATATTTATTAACTGACTTTTGTAGTTTTTCAATAGTAAGGGTACCAGGTCTTGACGAGGTGCTATTATATACCTATTAATTAAAATAATCATAATTATTTGATGATAAAATTCATTTATTTTTATGTCTACTTTTATTGTTCTCTCTGTCACAGAGGACCAGTTATACAATTCTTTTATTCTCTGATGCTTCACGTGTGCTGGCATTACTGAGCCTGACCTGTGATTAGTAATAGCAACCTCTAACTGATCAACCAGTGCTAAGAGAAGAGAGAGAGAAAGAAATATAAAAGAGAATGATAGAGAGGTAGGCTTACATGATACATTAGGTTCCGCTAATAATATCAAATCGTTTGGTAGTACTTCAGGAATACCACCAACATTAGTACTAACAACTTGCAACCTACAATAAACAAACAAAGATAAATAAATTAAATAATAATAGAAATTTAAATACAGCATTAACATACATAAATTAGATAAGTACAGTAGCATTAACATTACTATCAGTGAACATAAATGTGAACATTTGCATTCAATATACAAATGTGAACGCATTAACATTACAGTAACAGTGAACACTGTGTATTTAAACACACACGTACCCACACGATGCTGCTTCGACAATTGCCATACAGAAAGCCTCAGTCAGCGAAGTATTGAGAAATATATCACCTTGTACCAATATCTACCATCGAGCATTGAGAATAATGTAATTATTCATGTAAGTATGTGTGTAAGAATCATGAATGTGCATAAAAGGTAAGGAGCGTTTGTTTACAGGACAGCTAATAATGTTATTGTTATTTGTATTATGAATTATAATAAAGTAAGAGTGTGTTTATTTGTATGCTATGGAATGAGAATGTGCTTGTGTGTGTGTGTTAGTGAAGTGTCTGTTGGGCCTTTAGTGAGACTGTGTATGACAACATTCACTGCTAATGGGCAAGGGACAATCGGAGGACTTATTGTAACAACAATAATAATAATAATAATAACAATAGTGGATTGTGTCGGAAGTTAGTCTCTTACGTCACGGACTTGTGAATGAGGTATCATACCAGGCGTAAGCTGAACTCTCTCTTGTAAGAAATGCTTTTCTCTCACCTCCTCTATTAGTACACGCTTAGGACCATCACCAGCTGAAGAGAGAGAGAGAGAAAAGAAAGACGAGAGAGAGAGAGAGAGAGAGAGAGAGAGAGAGAGAGAGAGTAGGAAATAATTAATTGGTTTGTATTGTGAAAGAGAGATCAAAGAGGAGAGGGACTGACAAGGTAAAATGCATGAGAGTAGAGAATACATAAAACTACCATTACCTATTAAAAATTGAATATCAGGATATCGCTCACAGATAATGGGGATTATTGCTGCCATGATATCAGCCCCTTTACGGAGGACCAGCCTACTCACAATGACTATTGTTACTAAGAGGAAAACATTTAATGATAGAGTGAGATAGTACGATCACGTATTGTTGATTGAAGTTAAGATAATGATACAAAACACAAAACAGACTCACTCATGTTAGGATGTCTTTTGGTTGGGTCGGGACTGAACATCAGAGAATCAATGGCATTTGGAATAACATTAACAATGTTAGGATCTAGTGCTGCACGTAGTACAGTGTTCTCTTTACTGAAATAGAGGGAGAGAGAGAAAGATTGGGAGAGAGAGACAGAGGGAGGGAGGGAGGGAGGGAGAGGGTGAAATGAGGAAAAGAAATAAATGGAATTGGCAGTTATCATAAAATTATGTGAAAAAATGAAATGAATGTGATCAGTGTCAAGTCACTGATCAAACTGTCTGTATCAACCTATGATAACGTCAATAGACATTGCATCACACTTAAACCTTGAACTCAGACCCCCTGACTGACAGATCACAGTAGTTACTGGAACCATTGACCAATTATGCCAGGAACATTAACCGTCATTAGCTAAGCTTGATTTGCTTTATTGGAATAGCTTCATGCAATTATCAAGCACACATGATATAAGCTTTAATAAGCCACCAAACCCTCACTCTTAAGATGTACATACTTTCACACAAACAAACCTCCACCTATATGCAATAAAATGAATTTTTAAAAGTATTATTTGCATTGTCCAGATTACCGACAAGTGTAAAGTATAAAATTCTCCTAATTTGGCTCCATGACTAGTTATCATTTCCTTATGCTGACAGTGCCACTGATAAATCTCTCATCATAAAAAATATATTTCCAGGGGCTTTTAATCCTAATACTTTATTTCCTGAGGACCATAAAAGTTCTTACAATTATCCTGGAACTACTAGCAGTAATTATTACAAACAGAAGTTTTACACTAACACACCAAAAGCCAGTCATACCTTGTGTAAGATACACATATGACCCTGCTAACGTCAGAGAGAAAAAACTCTAAAAATTTATTTGTTATGATAGAGCTAATGTCAGCAAAACCGAATAGCGAGTGATCAGTAAAGACAGTAGGAAGACCTAGAACGCTCCCAGCAAACATAGAATCACCACACAAGCCACTAAATGCCTAAAAAGAAAAGATAGAAAGACTAAATTTCATATTAATAATGTATGGTACCCCATGCCCATGGATGATTGTCACATTTTCTCTGATGAATATCTCTCTCATTATTCCAAAAGAACAAAAGAGAAATGGGAAAGTCCCCTCCAGATAAAAGCAAGGAAACGGGACATAGTAAACCTATATGATTATAATTGACCACTAATTATTAACAGCAATCCCATTTATTAGATATGAGTATAAAAATATTGTTTGTCATTATTAAGTTTTGGATGAACATGTACCTTGAAATAATTTGATAAATACCGCACACATACTCTATCGTTGTACTGATGAGTAATGCCAATGACCTATTAACAAACAGCTAAATGTAATAACTGTCACTATAAAATGTGATTTCAGTTTTGGGAGAGAGTTTATAGCACCTTGTGGCCTTGCTTAATGAGGTGCTGGGATAAGGTGAAAATATGATTTTCTATCCCTCCTGTGTTTGGATAAAAGAAATCAGACACCATGCTGTTTGAAAATAAAGAAAATGAGCATGGCACTATTTTTTTCACTGACCAAATGCAGTGCTTCATCTTTCTTCATTGCCGTGGGGGCGGAGACGGAACTAATTTTCCCGTATAACACCGTGCCCGGAGTTGGCGGGGGTCCAAAATCTGCTGGCTGCAACATACATCCGCATTTCGCTAACTGACACTATTTTCTTCAAGTCAGAGAGAAAGAGAAGTCAAGAGGCTAAAGAAAGATGTCTACTGTAGCTGCGATCCCAAGCAGTGCCAGGGTCCACTCTGGAAGAGGGAGGTCTGATAGTGCGAGCCTCATCCGACAGAGGACGCCTCAAGGTGGTGCAAATCCGCAGCCAACCGTTGGACAAAGAAGCTACAGCTTTCATTCAAGACAACAACAGCAGCAACACCAGCAGCAACAATCCCAGGACAGATATTACGAGTATCAGCATAAGGAGAAGGAGCTTAGGACTGCTTTGTCTGATGATTATGAAGAGATTGACAGTGATGATGGATCATACCACAGTGAAGGAGATGACATTGCTCAATATTGGGATCCTTACTGTGAGTAGCTCTCTCCCTTTTACTTCCCCCTTTTACTTCCCCCTCTTCTCCTCCTCTCCTTTCTTCTCTTTTTAAACTCTTTCCTCTATTTTCTACTCTTTTTTGAGGCCTCTCTCCCAATCCTCAGCCATTTCTGTTTCTTATTAATAAAAAATGAATGATTTCCTCTTCTCAGTTCTCCTTCCCTTGAAATTGTCACTTTCAATTCTATAAAAATTCTATTAAAACTCTCACTCTCTTTCTCTCACTTTCTTTCCAGTGTATCAACTACAACAGCAAGCTCCTAGACCAAAGAAAGTTGTATGTAAAAAACCAGTAAGTC